GAGTAAAGTACTTCTTAAAATATAATATTACTAATATATATTACTATATTAGAATTAAGCTAAGCTATAAATAGAAAATAGTATTTAAAACTAAGTTCAGATACTATAAATATAAGGTTATACCCTTTAGCCTTACTAATACACTAGCTATATTCTAATACTTTATTTTTAAAGCGCTAGAGGAATATCTTAATATCTTTATTATTACATATCTAGATAATATCTTAGTATTCTTAGTAACCTTTAAAGATTATATTAAATATAATAAGCTAGTACTATAGAAGTTAAGAGAAGTAAAGGTTACTCTTAAACTTAAGAAATGCGAATTCTATATCTAAGAAACGTTATTCTTAGGATATTATATTAGCCTAAACGGACTTAGGATAGAGGAAGACAAGGTTAAGAGTATTATAGAATAGCTAATACCTAAGACTATTAAGGAAGTATAGCAATTTCTTAGTCTCGTTAACTACTACCGAAAAATTATTAATAGATACGCTAGAGTAGTATTAAGACTCTATTAACTTACTAAAAAAGACTAGAAATTCGAGTAGGATAAAGTAGTAGAAGAGTTATTCTAATAACTTAAACAACTCTTTAGCTAAAGGATAATTGTAGCTATATTTAGCTATAATAAACCAATTATTATAGAAACAAACGTATTAGACTATACCTTAGGAGCTAGACTAATATAGCTAAGACTAAATAGGAAATATTAACTAGTTATATTCTAGTTAAGAAAGATAATACCCGCGGAACTTAACTATAATATATATAATAAGGAACTACTAGCTATAGTATTAGTATTCTAAGTCTAAAGAGTATATTTAAAAAGAGTAAAATATATAGTAATAGTTAAATCCGATTATAAGAACCTTACCTTTTTTACTACTATAAAGGTTCTTATATAATAACAAGTATAATAGGCAGAAACCCTTATATAATACGATTTTAGAATCGAATATTATAAAGGAACAGAAAATAGCTAAGTAGATACGTTAAGTTAGTAACTAAACTATAAGTTAAGTACTAAAGTAGTAGAACCTACTATACTAAGACAAAACTTAGATAGTACTATCTTATATAATAAACAGTTACTAGCTATAATAGTAGAGGTCGAAGATAGTAACCTACTATAATAAATTAAGAAAGAACTAGAAATAGATATAATTAATTAACTCCTTAGAGAAAATAATAAACTTATTAAAGATAAAAGTAGTCTATTCTACCTATATAGATTAATCTATATCTTAGTTAAACTCTAGGAGGAAGTAATTAAGAAATATTATAATAACTTTACTTATAAATATATAGGAATAGAAAAGATAGTAGAATATATTTTATAAAATTATTATTTTCTAAATATAAACTATAAGGTTAGATTCTATATCTAAGGCTATAATATATACTAAAGGAACAAGCCTATATAATATATACCCTATAGAGAATTATAGCTATCTAAGATACTAACTAACCTATAGGAATAAATCACTATAGACTTTGTTATAAAGCTACTAATCTTAGAAGGATATAATATAATTATAGTTATAGTTAATAGGCTTACTAAATACGCCTATATAATTCTAACTATAGAAACTATTAATATAGATTAAATAGCGAATATAGTCCTATAATATATAGTTATAAACTATAGACTACTAGCTAAAATTATATTAGATAGAGATAAATTATTTATATTAAATATATAGCAATCCTTCGCGGATTAGATAGGTATTAAGCTTAGACTCTCTATAGTATACTACCTATAAACTAATAGTTAAATTAAAAGAGTGAACTAAACCCTAAAGTAGTACCTATAATACTATATAAACTACTAATAAAACGACTAGGTAGGACTACTACTAATAGTATAACTAGCGTATAATAATACTATTTACTCTATAACCTAAGAATCACTATTCTTTACTAATTATAGGTATAACCCTATAGTTTATAGATAACTAATTAGTAAAGTAGCTATAGTAGAATTAGTGAGACTAAAGGCTAATAAACTAAAACAGTTATACCTATAACTATCTAAAGATATTAACTTTATTAATCTATAAATAAAGAAGTATTATAACTAAAAATATAAAAAGGGACCTAACCTAAAGGGGGGAGAAAAGATTTATCTTTTACGCTATAATATTAAAACTAAGTGACCTAGTAATAAATTAGACTACCTATAGTTAAGACTATTCGAAATTAAAGAAAAACTAAGATTAGTTAACTATCGCTTAAAGCTACTAGAAAGTATATAAAAACTCTATCTAGTATTTTATATCTCGTTACTTAAACCTATACTAAATAATACTAAACTTATAATAAATATAGAATTAGAGGAAGAAACCGAAAACAAATATAAGGTCAAAGAAATCCTAGAAATAAAGTAAATAAGTAGAAAGCCTTACTACTTAGTAAGATAGAAGGGGTATAATACCTCTAAAAATACTTAGGAACCTATTAAGAACCTAAGGAGCTACCCCTAGCTAGTTTAACAGTTCTACTAGAAGAATCGCTAACTAGGAAAGATAGGTCTATCCCCTCTAAGACAGAAGGGGATAAGGGACTAAATATCTAGGTTAGAGTAGGATCCTCTAATATAGCGGTAAGGGCTTAAGTATTATACTTATTAGCGAGGCGATCTAGCTTAGTAAGATCTTTAGTAGATAGAGGATCCTTAATATCTAACTACTTTATTAACACAGAATCGTAATCTAATATCCGATTATTCTAAGAATATAAGAATTAGCGCTATTTATATAAATATATTATTTTTATTATTATATCTATTTACTATTTTTTAGCCTAGGTAAGCTCTTTATTAATTTTCTACTACTTATATAACACTTTTTACTACTTAGTTTCGCTATAGAACCTTTTTATATATTTCCGACCCTAACGAGTATATTTAATATAGTTATAGTACTTAAGATCCGCTATATAAGAGATACTATAGGAAAAGTAATATTTATAGGGGTATTTAATAACTAAATTATTTATTAGAATTAATTAATATTAAGTAAGTCTATTTTATTTACAAATCGCGTTATTAACTAGTATAGTATAAAAGGTATATAACTAAAGAACAAAAAAAAAAGGGAAAAAGAAAAATAACTAATATTACTTACCTAAGGGGTAGTTAATAGCTTTAAAAGGCTTCGAGGACAAAACCCTAGGGGAAGGGGAGATAATATTACAGAACTACCTATTACTAATTAATAGTACCCTACTAGGTACACAGATAGGCTACTAAGAGCTAACTAATCTATTTATTAACAGATTATATATAGTATCTAATACTCTAGTATCCCTAGGTATTTAGGAAAGAGAAAACCTATTTACACTTAGTAAGTAAAAGCATAATTAAGCCTAATTAGACTCTTTACTAAAAGGTTTCTAGTATATATATACTTTAGGGTATCAGATATTACCTATACTAGGAATCGCTATACACAGAACTAAGGACACGTAACTGTGACTCCTATATTAACTTAGAGAAGTATATATAGGAGTATATAGCGACTCTAACGGTAACTCTAAGGAGTTATACTAGGAGTAGGAATTAAAAGATATATAAGGACACTTATTTATATACTTAGTTCAGTTCTTCGTCTTTAATTATACATTGTTACTTATGTTTACCTTTTAGACTACTATAACTCTTTACTTGATTATAACTTAATAATACTCACAAGCAGACTAATACCCTAGTATAGATCTACTCAGCGCTCTCACTAGTATCGTTCCTCGATCTCTTAACAGGACTTAGGCTATAGTAAGGCCTTACAGGTAATAGCTTAGTTACGATAGATCGTTAACGTTAGATACACAAGGAGTATTAAGGCAAGTATACCCGGAACCCATCTAACCTAACTGTGACTAGTTAGTAGTGCGTATCATTACTCAGTTGAGAGAGGAATCTTAGTCCTTAGTTCTCCCTTAATATACTGTCTAGTATTAGCCCTGATTTATTTAGGGGGACATTAGTATAGACCTCTTTAATTGTAGTCCTAGTGGCTAGTGGGAAGTCAAAGTTTCTTTCTCTCTTTATACTAGTGACGAACTGCCTAAAAAATCCCTTTATCGTTCCGACTATAGGCCATTCTTCGATCCGACCGTCCTTTCCTCTTGTAACCTACTCTAGAAAAGCCCTATATGTTTAGATATCCGGCGGAATAACAGAATATAGATGTAATTCGATAAATTTAGGGATAGAGGTATAATTTAGCGATTTACTTCTCTACTCCTATAGCTGAGACTTACTTATTAAAAATAAGTAACGTCTCTTTATACCTAGATTCTATTCGTGGTAGTACTATCCGTTAGATTTTATTATTACTATATTCGCTGAAATCTATAACATTAGCTATATACTTTAATATTAGGTTACGCTTGGTACGTATCTTACTTATAATAAAGTGAGGCTTAAGAGGTAAAAACGGAGGGGAAAAGAAAGGTTACTTATAGCATTACCGGTTAGAAGTGGGAAATGTATATTTTGCTGTACGGGCTGAATATTCGGGTGAAGAATATTCAGGTGGGTGAATATCCGCCCTGAGGGCCCTGAATAGAGCGGCGAGCCGCCCATGCCTGAACCGTGGGGGCTAGGTGACCACGGTCATACTTATGCTGTTGTATGTTTTTGTTTTTTTTTGCATGTTTTTTTGCTACATCATGTCTCCATGCGGTATACGTGGTTGTGGGTGAATGGATCAGATCTTAACTAGACCGGCTGGATGAGCACCGAACCCATTAGGCAAATGTATGGCTCATGATGATGAGATACCCCTTTGTTGATATTATTTCCCATCACCCTTTCTTCACTTCTTGCATCTGTCACATTTCCCTTTTCTAACAGTTCAGCATTCTAAATTTCTAAGTCCGCCTCCCCGTTAAGCATCATCTCTCGTCCAACAAAGTGCCAGACACCATCCAATTATTTTATCATGTTACTGGACATCGACCACACCACCAAATAAACCCGAAATCTGCACATTATGTCACTCTATCCCGAAGAGAGCCACCAGGATGACCTGATTATCCACACACTTACGGAGCTCGCATTATCCAGACAGACAACATTCAAGAAAGTAGATATTGAACGCCTTGGGATCACGGTCGATAGGTTTGAAGCTAGAGACTCCAATTTTCTGGACGATAGAAACAAGTGTCCTTTTAAGCCTTTTCGTCAGAAGCTCATTAAAAGCTGGAAGATACCGGATAGTAAGGCAGCGTACGAATCTGTGCACGACCGCCTGGATATCCAAGATGTGCCTCGTAACTCGCACCTTGCTTCTCAACCAAGCGAAGCTGAGATAGCAGACGCTACGGCGGATGTTATTGCATATCTTGAGACAAATATGACCTTTTTATGTGACGGCGGAAGTAGCACGCCGTTGTCCGAGAAGCTTGAGTGGACCGAGATCGAGTGAGTGTCACTACTGGGCAGAAAGACTTACGAGACTCTATAGTGCGGAACATGCCGAAATTCGCGGTGACGGTATCGGTATTTTGGCTTAGCCACCAAGAGTCTACAGTTGTGGCAGCATCGGTAGTCCAATAGATGACTACAGACATGAGCGGGAAGTGATACGGAGATACAGGGGGAAGGGGAGATGCGATGTGATATGAAATGAAATAACTTGATATTTGGATACAGCTTCAACTACTGTAGGAGATGATGTAGGGACGGCACGGAAGGAGTCTTTCCCTCGTGGGTGAATAACGCGTACTTGACGAGTCCCAAAAAACGAGATTAACAAGCGATGTTAGGAGTCCCCGAAAAGGAAGGTTGATAGGACCGGATATCAATAATCTATACTAACACCTCAAGCTCGCTCGCGAGCATGCTATTCTATGTAGGGTAGTAGAAGCTGATAATGGCTCTCTCTACATGCGGACAGTGTGTTTTCTGGTACTCGCGATCTCGGACGTAGAATCATTCTAGACTTAGCGGGTACCATCCACAGGTAAATGAATAGCCCAGTGCACGGAGATGATGGACCTTGTAGAACTCATCTTCCTCGCTAGATAAGTATATTGTTAGCGAAGGCATTCACATTCAAATCGTGGGCGAGGGGCACCACTTACTCAGTCTTTAACCACTGCCTGATGGCCCTCAACTATATCCCGGGATTTAAACGGAGGAAATTGGAAAAGTCCGAGTAGCTGATAGTGCGGTCCCGGATAGCATACCTTAGATCATAGTAAACTGGAAAATGTCGTTATTGACGTGTACGTACGTCAAGTTGTTTATCCGCCTTTGGATCGAGCGTCATGAGCTTGTTGAGTAATTCAGGCCCCGTTAACGTGAGCTTGTCAAGTTTATACTAAAGTTTAAACTAGGTGGCATCATCTGTCTCCTTGTCGGATACTACGTAGCTTGATATTGAGTGGAGCCAAGTCTGAAGCTATGAATTCAGCTTCTTCGGGGTGTCGCGGTCTACCACGAGTCATCTCCACTGGTCCTAGAATTTCGAGCTTAGGTTGCCAGGTGGCATATTGGTAAGACGTTCCTAGGAAATAAGAGACAGACAAAGTAAAAGAGCGAAATATGAAGCTGATAACGTGGAGAGGATTTTGTGAAGCTGCATAAGAGTGTGGGTCATTGGTGTCTGAGGCAACTATATCAAAGTAATCAGTTCATAACTCTCTTTTTGGACCTGGCCTCACCGCTGTTATCACCACCTTCCTGAAACCTGTACCAGTACTATATATTTCTCACACATTCGCCTACTACCACATACCTGCTCTCTATTCTATGATTCTCCGCTATGCTATATCAAGCACATACGACCATAGGGTGTGGAAAACAGGGCTTCCCGTCCGCTCAGCCGTACTTAAGCCACACGCCGGTGAGTTAGTAGTTGGGTGGGTGACCACCAGCGAATCCTCACTGTTGTATGTTTTTGTTTTTGCTCTTTTCAGGTAGGATAGATTGATAGATAGATAAACGCCCTAGAATGAGTAGGTTATTTTTAAGTAGCTTCAAATGTAAGTGGTATGCAAGATTGACCTGACCATATCCACTTCTACCAATCTGTCCACTTCTGTACCTCTTCATATCCCACCTTAGCCTGGGTGGCGTTATAGCTCCATTGCTCCATTCCTCCTATGTACCCTTGGTAACAACTGTACATCGTAGTCCGTCCCATACAATGAAGGCGATAGTTCTGTTGGATTCCAGATATTAGGGCATTTGTGGCTACAGTTTATTCTGCCATTCAGGCAAAACCAGATCCTGTATGGCCACCTATGTGGGGGGAATTTGATTGACGAATAGTAAATTGAAAGAATGCCCTGAATCCAAATAATGTGGAAAATATCAATGTGTACAGTCCATCATGGTAGAGTTTGCTCCTTTTCGCCTCCATCGCTCAACTTTTATGCGGGGCGAATGAATTTTGCCTCTCACCGCCACGAAGGCCCTATATCTCCTCAGATGCCCCGCATCTTTTAATTCTCTTCATCAACACCTCGTGACTCCCACTTTCTTTCAAAATGTCTAAGATCTACGTCGGGTATGTCAAATTCTATCGAATATCGATCTTGAGTGAGCCATTTATACTGACTATCTAAAGAAACCTCTCATGGCACACCAGCGACGAGTCGCTCCGTGCGGCCTTCGGTGAGTTCGGCCAGATCGTCGACTCTGTATGTGAAAATTCCAATTTTTCCTTTTTTTTTTCGCTTAAGCTAACATTTTCTTTTCCAGATCGTCATGGTTGACCGTGAGACTGGTCGCTCCCGTGGATTCGGTTTCGTCACCTTCTCTTCCGCTGAGGAGGCCGAGGCCGCCATCAACGCTCTTAACGAGCAGGAGTATGTTTCTTTTCCAATCTTCCCCCAAAAAAACACATTTTCTAACCCTAATCCAGTCTCGATGGTCGTCGCATCCGCGTTAACCTCGCCAACGCCCGCCCCGCTGGTGGCTCTGGCTTCAACGGCGGTGCCGGTGGTGGCCGCTGGTAAACGTGATCAGTGACGAAAAAGTGCGCGATGGTTATGCGGAGCGAGAAAAACATGATATAATGATGCTTAGCGTTGGTGACTGGTGCCTTTATGTGAGAAATCATTCACAAGGCTGTTACTAGAGTTACTCCAGAAGTAGATAGTATTTCCCCCTCGATGTTTCATATACCACTAGGACATTTGGAATTTCATTCAGAGCCGATCATCTCGAGCACTGATTTACGACATATTTTTGCCTCCTTTTTTTTTCTGTAAAATTTTAAAACATTCTTGTGCCCAACTTCATGCAAGGGATGGACTTTTGATAAAACTATTGGTTGTAATGTAGCATCTTGCACATATCACAAAGTGTCACCAATTGTTGTGTTTAGGGCACGGGAGTACACATTGCGTGTCCAAGAAATTTCTGGCTCCGCTTTGAAAATTTCAAAATTTATCAGGGCACATGTTCATATTGTTTGGCTGTCCATCTAAAGCTTCGCTGTTTGATCTAAGAGCTCTTATAATCTAGTCTTTAGCTAGTTCATCATAGCTCTAACATGATCAGGCATGAAGCCATGAGACGAAAAAATACTTCTTGGCATGCCACTAAGATGATTCAAAGGGCTATTGCAGGTTTCTTCTAAGTCCTCTCCTTCTTTACACTTTCAGCCTCATGTAAACATACAAAGCCCTGGAACCCTGTTGCACTGACTAAAAATAGTATGAACATTCTCAACGTCATTGGCCAATTGCTCCCAAAAAGTGATGCCCCGCGGCTCAGCTTGGACCCACACATTGCTTTATCAGATTTGATTTTATATTGTACAATATAAGCACCTGTGAAAATGACAAAATGTCAGCTTCTGGCAGCAGAAATGGCCTTTCCATTGTAACTTGCAGTACCGCCCTATCGCCCTGGATATTCTGCCCAGGTACACCTCCAGGCTAACCGCCCTTAGTCATCCTCTTAAGCCGATCTCGGGGTGTTAGCGAGGTTTAGCGAGTTCTTCTCATTTCCACTCACAACAAGAACTTGGAATTGGGCTCTTGGCACGGTTAAATGTATATCATGCTTATGTGGCAAGCTGCGTATTTTCAAACAATCCTTTTCTTTAGTACTAATGCTCAGCTCAGTTAGGAACGGATGATCAGTCAATTCGATTGCAAAGAACAGCATGAATGACAATTGTAATTCAACAAGATATAAATACAGCATGATACCGAAATCTAATTATGAAGAAAAAAAAGGACGACAAGAGTGAAGAGTAATGACCCAATATGAAAGTGACCCGTGTATCATCTCATAGTATAACCACCATTTATACCCCTTGGTCTACCCACAGAAATGATGAAATCATGCCGATTTACAGCTGTGATTTGCCATACGTTTGTTCACGGCGGTACGGATTAGGCAAAAGGTACTTCCATCGATCGCAACTAGTTACCTTTTCGACCGGGCTCATTCGATCAAACTCGGCGCGGAAAGCCTTATCTTCTTCATGCCAGCGGTTTAATTCGGGTCCCAGCCAGCGAGATATAGCCTCTGCGCACTCGCGAGGCACCTCCTGGGGAATTTGGTGCCCAACCTGGTCGAAACAAATATCCCGAACACGACCGTTCACAGCACCTCCATTGCCGCCTACCGCGATGCCGGTATTTCTGACCCTGTCTTCTCTCAGAACAGGAGGGGACACCTCTGATTTGCCGCCAAATATGTATAACACGCTTGGTCTGAGAAATGGAAGCTGTGCAAAGACCCTACCTGGCTCGGGGCAGTAAAATAGGGTCGATGTTGCTTTATCAAGGTCTGGATGTGTCGTGTGGGTGCCGAAATGTCCTGTATGGTCGAAGGTTGGCCTTATGTATGTAAAGGCCTCCTGCTGACGTGTTGTCTTCAGTGTAATATTCATGGCTTCCCTTTCAGTCTCAGATCGTAGGTAGGTGTCCAGGGGATATATTGCTGTCGGGGTGTTGCGTAGTCCATGTTTCACCCACTGCTGTAGTACTCGTTCATCCCATTTTCGGTAGAATGGGCTATCGCGGAATTTTTTGGCTGCTGCCTCGCGGGAAGGCCACCGGTCACGGCGGTATAAAGATAGGTTTGCTAGTGCGGTGCTTATCTCATTGGTTTCGGGTTGGATGACAGGTTCCACGAGAACAAGACTGTGGAGAAGTCGGGGATGAATTAAACTGAGGTTTGCCCTAATTAATCAGAGTTAATTAGACGCAAAGCAAAAGTAACGGGATGATCATGTATTACATATGTAATCCGCCCATGCTGTGTCCAATGCCAACTAAAGGTTGTGGCATATCAGATCGCTTGACATTGATAAGATGGAGAAGGTCTCTGGAATGATCGAACCAGCTCGCTTTTTTTGTTAGCTGGGTAGGAAAGTAGAATTGGTAGAGTCAACCTACGATCATTTCCAAGCAATCCTTCATTAATAACACCACTCTGTCCCTGGTTTGATGCGTCCGCCATCCAAATTCCTCTAATACGGAATCCTTCGGATTTTGAGGATTTATGTAAGTCCTCCCACAGTGGCTCATACAGTTCCTATAGAATATTGAGTTTTCATCGTTCAGAATATTTCCTTGTGTAACTTACCTTGGGAAACCCATTGCCGTGCGCGGCCAATATAGTCACATCGCCAGGTTCGGGATTGGGATTATCCAGGGGAATGTATTGCTTAACGGCTAGTTGCAAGCCATCAGCCTGGCCGTTAACGGTCGCACCAGGGTATTCCCTAATATGCTGACACGGAACAATATGTTCGATGATATGGAATATATTTTCAGTGGAAGGTTCCATGTTTGAAGCACGTCTTACAGGAGGTTTAGAAACATATTCAAGTAAATCTGCATGATATAGTCAATTGTTATCTATATGCAAGAACAATTGTGCTTTGTTAGTCTCTATGTGCACCTGGGCGCTGCAAGAGAAACTCGGAAGACACATGATCTGCAAGCTTGACACCACCAAAATAGCCACTCTAACACAATATAACCCATTAAATCTCTCGTGCATTTCTAGAGGAAGACTAGAAGGTGGTCACATCAATATTGCCACAATGTACGAAATTGTTGTGACGTCACAAAAGTCCCGCACTTATTCTGATTGGCACTTGCACCAATAAGAATGATGTTGCCTTCAAGTTCATTTGCATTGTGTAACCACCTAGCTAAAGAAGAGGGTGTATATAATCCATACCGGTACTCATTAGGGATCGGTATTCTGACTAAAAATGGAATAGGACATAATCAAATGTTGGAATGGGACCCGGGAGAGATGTTGGTTGTAGCTATTGATGCTCAGTTCAAATCAAAGCGACTCATTCATGTGCCGAAAGGACTGCTTTATATCTGATTGACTGAGTGTTGAGCGCCTCGATAGCCTCTTGAACTCCTTCATTAGAAAGTGGGAATCTTTCAATAACAGGTGCCAAATCATTCTCAGCACAGAAATGCAGCATCTCTCTAATATCATGTGAGGAAGCAACAAGAGATCCCTGAATCCGAAGACCATTGTCAATCATAAGCGTCATCGGAATCGACACTGGTGTGAGAGATACTGTTAGAGGGTAAATAGTCCCATGCGTCGCCATGAGCGAGAAAACACTATGGCGAATCAAACATTAGTTGGCAATCAAATTTGAAGTACAAACCTATTTCCGGTTAGTAATGTGTTCCAAGACGTACAATGTGTAGTCGATAGAGACCGAACCACATAGAAGTAGATGGTCAAGAGGTTCCATATCTATGCAACAGGCTTAGCTCGAGTAAGTACTTCAGCCCAAGATGCAGATAATCACCTCGGATTTCGTCAGCACTAGTCACATAGAACTCTTTGGCTCCGAAGCTCATGCAATCTTCTCTTTTAGAGTCTGACCCGCTCAGAGCGATAACATGGTATCCCATGGCAGCTGCCAATTTGATAGCCATATGCCCCAACCCACCAATACCCAGGATTCCAACCCGATGGCCTGGTTTGATTCCGTACTTGGTCAAGACAGTCCAAGCGGTAGCACCCGAGCACATCAACGGAGCAGCCTCGGCTGAGCTCAATTCGTCAGGTATAAGGACGAGAGATTTTGCGTCCCAAACCGCTGCGGATCCTAAACCCCCGCGCTCTATATCGGATTTTCCATAAACCTCCCTCGTTTTGCAGTACTGATTCCAACCTGTCATCAGTTAAAATCGTGAATTTATGACAAATTGGAGGTTTGATTTGTTATTTAATACCTGTTTTGCATTTTTGGCATTCATCGCAAGTCTTTTGCACATACCCCAGTCCAACCCGGTCTCCGACTTTGACATTCTGGGCGTCGGATCCAACGTCTCTCACAATTCCAACACTCTCATGACCCAGAACTTGAGATGAGCGAAGATAAAACTTGTCCGAGCCACAAATACTGCCATGAGTAATTTCGACTAGAGCGTCCCGTGGAGACATTGAACGGATGACTTGGTCACTTTGTATCGCGCCGGTTTGAGATCCCCGGAATACATCAATTGTTTTAGTCATGGTGGAAATGTGTTGTCACGTCGAAAACCAAGTAAGAATTAGTTAGAATAGTTATTCATGTATGGAAATTGACCACAGAATAGAAGAAAGAAATAGTCTTCCAGGATCAATTACATGCTTTTCATCATTCAGTTCTCTCAATATATATACACTTACACTCCCGAATTAAGATTCTATCTTGTGCTACGCAGAACCTCAACTTACACGGCATGAATCTGAGTTATGCACGGGGTTATCTGCACATCTTCGTTGATTTGTACAACATGTAACATGGTCTATGAGGTTTAGGGACCAACTTTCCAACTTGCAAAGTCAGAAAGCAGTGCGCAGCCTGAAGTAGAGATTCTTACTTGATATGAACTGAAATGCATTAACATTATACAGAGGGCAAAAACTTGGAAAATATCACGAAATACCTTTGGTAAACTGATGTTAAAATCAACACCCAAAATAGTGACTCCCCCAAAGTCATTCGTATTTCCCTACATGTTGGTGGGCTGTATTGTTGTACGAAGAGCCTGGAATGTCGAGTATACTCATTTGATTTATAATTGATTTCCTCGCAATCAATGAAAACCACGGGATATATATTTCCATGAATCATAAAAATCTAGTGGCATGCTACATTGCATCAAAAGGAGCGGTGAGCTCGTGCTACGCACATCACCAAGACACAAGAGTCAATATATAGAGTTCCTTAGATGTTAGGGAAGTCATATGAACCAGATATGATCTGTGAATCTATAGCCAAATTGGCCACTGTATTTGTTTTGTTGTAATGTGAGAGCCAACCTTCCAGAGCATTGCAAAAAGATATGCCTGCCCCATCAGTCTGTGTTGTGTGCATGTATTTCATACATCTTGCTGTAAGATTACCTCGAAAGAAAATATTGACTCTTTTAGATGCTGGTGCTGGCGGCCTTGCGACAGCCGCTCGACTAGATCAGTAGGGATGCAAAGTGAAGCCGGCAGAGAAACATGATTTATAGAAGAATGCTCTCTGATATCAAACCATGGATATATATGTGCCTATTTTACTTACAGTGAAGCTCAGCCGACAGTCTAGATCACCTGCTTTGAATGCATATCTGCCGATGATTGAGTGATGCTACCCCGATTTTTATATAAAGCTAATATGTGTGGGTGGTATGAAAATATCGCTATACCTCATTTCCAAATTAAACCTACACCTAATGCACTCCAATAGCTTTTGACCTTTGACGAAATACGGTCGGGTTAAAAAGGACAGGCCAAGGCTCCTTTTGAAAGGATAAATCAAGGATCCCATACTACCTCGGAGCATGTCGATTTTTCCCGGTGAACTTTTATCATCCCATTCTACTTTCTACCTTATACTACCCATCCCTGTCAACTAGATGATCAAGCTTCGTAGTAGTCTTAGTGCAAGCTTGGCACGGTTACATGGTACTGGTCTTCGTATGACCCGAGCGGATATTCCCGCATAGCCAAATATAACGTCCTCTATACCTATAGCGTCTTTATGTATTATAAGCCATCCTATTTAGAAGGCTGCTTTCTAATATAGAAGCATTACAAAGTTCTTTTTCTACTAGGTAGATTCTTTGACTGTGCTAGTGGTGCCTACAAATGCAAGAAGAAGAAAGTTCTGTTCAAACTGTGAATTCCTGATTCTCAGCTACTTATAAATCATCTCCGCAACCAAAAAGGGAAGTATGCGGATCCAAACAATCAAGCGTTTAAGACGCGTAAATATGGCGGGGATTGGGTTTGCCAAAGCTTGCCCAAGAATATATACATAGGCCACTCACGGCGCCAGTAATCATCCGCCAAGCGATAAAGGCATTTATGCGCCGATACCGTTGAAGAGAAGCTTGGGGGTGGTGCCGGAGGGAGCATCGGTGATAGCCTCCTGAGCGAGCTCGACGAGACGGGCGCAGGCCTTGTCAGCCGAGACACCCTCGAGAGCCATGATGTAGGCGGCGGCACCGGCAACGTGGGGAGAGGCCATGGAAGTTCCAGAGAGGGACTTGGAGCCACCACCGGGGTAGGCAGCGGTGATGTCCTCACCAGGAGCGTAGAGGTCAACTATAGTAATACCGTTAGTATATTTTTCTAAAAAGTATGTTTCGCTCTACGGGAAGGGGAGGTCTCACCAATGGAACCGAAGTTGGAGAAGTCAGCGTTGCCGTCGGAGATGGTGGAAGCGGCGACAGTGCAGGCGTTGGGAGCGGAGGCAGGGGAGCTGTTCTTGGCATCCTGGGACTCGTTACCGGCGGCAACAGCGAGGAAGACACCGCCCTTGACGACGTTGGCAGCGGCGTCGTTCATGGCCTGGGAGAAGGATCCACCCAGAGACATGTTCATGACGGCCTTTCCAGTGGCACCGCGGCTCTTAGCGTCGGTGACAGCCCACTCCATACCGGAGATGACACCAGAGTTGGTTCCGGAGCCATCGGAACCGAGGACCTTGACGGCGACGATGGTGGCCTTCTTGGCAACACCGTACTTGGTGCCAACAGCAGTAGAGGCAGTGTGGGTACCGTGGCCGTTGCCATCAGTGTCATCACTGTCAGCAAAGTTCTTGCCCCACTCGGCGCGGCCGCCAAAGTCGGCGTGGTCGATCTCAATACCGGTGTCGACACCGTAGACGACGATGCCCTCTCCGGCAGTGGAGTCGTAGGTGTAATCCTTAGTACCGGCCTTCTTGCTGGAGATGCGAGGGAGACCCCATGAAGGAGCGTTGGCCTGGACAACGTCCTCGGTGGCGTTGACAATCATGTCGGGCTCGATGTACTTGACCTATATTTCCAATGCGGGTTAGTTTGCAACACTTGAATCAAGGTGGATAATGAGATTCCATACAGCAGGGTTGCTGGCAATGTCCTTGACGGTGCGCTCATCGAAGGTAGCGGTGTATCCCTTCATGCCATTGATGTCGAACTTCTTGCCTGGTCCAGAGATGCCACGCTTGCCGTTGGAGAGACGAGCGTGAACGGCAGCAGCCCAGTCACGGTGGGATTGGAAGTCAGCATCGCTAACGTCATCGTTCATGACAACGATGTAGGAGCTAGGAACGACCTCGGCGCCGTGGGAGGCGCTAAGGAGAGTACCGGCGTTGACGACTGCCAGAGTCGCAAGCGAGGTGGAAAGGACCTTGAGGAAACCCATGATTGCTGTTGGAAGAGATAGATGAAGAAGATGCTGATGAGACTCAGGAAGATGCTGATGAGGATTCTGAACTTGGGAGCAACGAGTCCCTTTTATAACATATTCAGCGATGGAGAAGAGGCCATCGCCGGCGGCCTTCCGGGATCAACACCATCTTCATCTTCAGAGCCTGGTGATGAGATCTGCCGGACCTTGACGGAGAATGAGTCGATTGAACGGGCCAAACCATCGCTTTAGGAAATGATCATTCTTCCATTAATTAAGCCGACACAATGCCAATATGCGCCCAGGGAAGTCTAATGCGGAAGGCGTGACTGTGAGATTGTACAACTAACTTTAGATTAATTGGGAGGCTTTGCCCGACGGGAGTCCGATGGATGGTTCAGGGTCCTAACTGTGGAGCGCCAGAAGGCACGTGTTCTATGCCGGTTATACAGTAATTTAGGGCTTGAAGAATATAGTAGTGGCGAAAGATGCGGAGTACCTAGTCCCTTGTAGTTGCAGATCTTTTGTGGGAACAATGCAGTATGCCTCGGAGGGTTTTGGACACTGTAGCTAACTATCATAACAACAACCCTTTTAGGTCTCTGGCCGCACATGTTCTCCATGATGTGTCTCAATGGTAGAAATTGACGCGATGAAATAAGTAGGAGCGGTACGAGCCGTCTGCATGTTGCTGATTCGACCACGCGAGACACGCCCTGAATATCCCAAAATTGTTTGGTTTTGGGTTGTCGGGGATCGACAGTAACACAAGAGCGAAAGAGGGGAAGGTAGTAGAATTCCCATATAACGGGATCAGTATCATGCGCCGGACTCCGGAGATAAGTTCTTGGCTGTCAGAAATGTAGATAGCGGGGAGTATGCATATCACAGTGGAGGTGGGGAAAGGGGGCCCAAGTACCGAGGTCTCAGGGCTGTTGACTCAAAAGATTCTAGACCCTTGTACATCTTTTAAGCTCTTTTACTGTATATACTATTCGATACTATGATCTTCGTTAAGTGAGATATACAAAACTTAAAAGAATATACTAGACCTAGACCTAGAAACTAAGATCTTGTGACAAAGATAAGCTCGGACTAATACACCGAAAGGGTTTCCGCTTTGGTAAAATGATATCTGCACGATTCAAGTAGTATAGACATGTCATGGTAGTGATTCTGCATGATAAGCCACAAAGCCACAATAATACAGACTGAAGATATACTCCGTGCAGATGCCAAGGGTCAGCGAGTGTACAAGGCGATAAGCCACAATAATAAATTTGTATTGAAGATATACTCCGTGCAGATGCCAAGCGTCAAAGCGTTTCAAGTTCAGCTCGTATAGGTCAATGCGGCCTTGGCGCTCGGGTGATTCTCTCCCGCTTCTCAATTTTCTCAGCCCCCTCCGTATCCTTGGCGTATTCATCCTTATCGGTTAAATAACGCCTATATACTATATCAACCTCCCCAAGATACTATCAAGCACATACGACCATAGGGTGTGGAAAACAGGGCTTCCCGTCCGCTCAGCCGTACTTAAGCCACACGCCGGTGAGTTAGTAGTTGGGTGGGTGACCACCAGCGAATCCTCACTGTTGTATGTCGGTGTTCACCCGTTATTTTTTGATTCGTTAGGAAATCCCCTCTTGCCGCCCTACTCTTCAGTCCATTCAGCCCATTCACCTGAATGCCCTGAACACCACTATTCTACACCTGAATATCCTGCACGTCCCTGAACCGCTGACGTGTCCTTCCCCTCCCGTACTGATTTTTTTCTCACAGCCGTGTTGTTTTGATCACAACTCTCTGGTACTAATTTCTACCGGTTGACTCATGTCCTCCTAGAATTCAAATGACAGTAGGAGAGGAAAAGAAGGAGGGCCGCCTAGGAGAATCAAATTTGATATTGAATATAAATTCGCTGGAGGTCACCCACCCCACTACTAACTCACCGGCGAGGGGCTTATACGCAGTCAATAGTCGGGTGGGTGTCGCCAGGGTGAGAAATGGGTGAGCGCCGCTTTACAGTCGCGCGACCAGGGGTGAGAAGGGTGAGTATGCTATAGACAGGGTGAGAATCAGGGGTGAGATTAGGGTGAGATTCACCCCATGTCGCAGGACAGGCGCACTGACCCCCTCAGGTGACGAGAGCCTTGATATGATTGGGTTACAGGTTGACTCTGGAACACGTAGTCCCTTGGCATCTGCACACAGCCCCAAAAGAGAGATGTCTTCAGTTCAATTCGTTTTTGTGGCTTTGTCGCCCTGTAGACTCGCTACAGCCCTTCTGATTTGCCCATGCTTGTACATAAATCCCAATGCAAATAGTACATATCAACCAAACTAACCCTACTTATCAAACACTCACTCTTGTAGACCTCATCTTTGTCGTCACAATATCTGTTCTTAGGTACCTCTCTTGGTGTATATTGTTCTAAGAAGAGACAGCTTTAGCTAATGTACTTTTTTTCCAGCATTTCTAGCCTGCTTCTGCAAGCACCCTTTGTACAACACGTGCACCTGCGCTAAACATTTGTCCCCTGCTTAGTCCTCAAGCCTGGGCCTCCTCGAAACGGCATCATGCAGGCAAGGCCCGTGCAAATAACAGCTAGTCTGTGGTCCTCCACTTTCTCCCTTTTGGACTATTCTCTCATGCCTAAATTTTTGCCAAGATGATCATAAACAACCTCAAGCTACTTGATACTGAGTTCAATGGACTACTCACTCAACTTGATCGTGTTCTTGACAAAATTGAGACAGAACTTTCTGTTGAGGACCGCATGGTATACTTCAAGCGTTTGTGTCCGCCTGCGATGTCCACACTTCACAGACTATTCAGCATCAGACGTCAAATAGAACAAAAAGAGGCAGCCAACGGTGCGTCTCAAGACAACGAATATTCTACTCAGAGCAGCATCGAGAACCACTTGCTATTTATTTCAGACCATGCATCACCACCTGACCCTACCAGCAAAAGGCAGCAATGCGAAGGTTGTGGTGGCCTATCTACCAAGAGCAAGGAAGCTAGCACGAGCAACGACGAATCCAGCAATAACGACGACCAATCCTGCAACGACGATGACGTATCCAGTAATAACGATGACGTATCTAGCAATAACGATGTCGAATCTATCAATAGTGACAAGTCTAAAAAAGCTCAAAGAAACTCCCATCATCGTGACCTGGACAACACAAATTTTACAAATCGCCGAGTGTCAATATCGCCTAGGCTTCAGGAAGTTTTCTCGCAGTGCATGAGAGATCCGCGGGATATTTACAGTAAAATTCGCCGGAATTCTACTCAAACGGCCGGTGGGTTGCCGTCGGCATTCCTCGAGATTTATGAAAGAGGAGAATATGCCGAGCTGTTTGCACTGTACCGTCGATTCGAACTGCGTAACTTTTACCTCCTGGCAGTTGATCTGGACTACCACACAGGAGAAAGATGGTGCAGGAACGCGTCTTCCGATCTCGCCACACAGATAAAAAGCCAGAGACCGTCACTAGGATTGGGCCAAGATGAACTCAAGGAGTACCTGAATAAGTTCGTTAGGCTTGGCCGGAAGTATGATAGATGGGCGACGGAATTAGGTGGTCCAGGTTATTTGCTTGCGATGCCTTTGGACATCACGGAGAGAGAGTGAGCTGGCCTTAGATCCGAACGCTTTGATCAAGAATCGCTGATATAGGCCTAGGTATACGGACAGGCATTTTACAAAATGCATTCCCCCTGCGATCAGCAAATTTCGTGAAGATGGTATTGATGAGATTGTGACGGAAAATGGGTTTGACCAATTGGGCGATTTCATCTCCAATGATCTGTGGACTCAGTTTCGGCCGCCACAAAATTCTCTTAGGCGACGTCTAACCACATCCGCGAAAAGAAGTAAAAAAAAGAGAGAAAGAAGCCAGATCCAAATCGAAGACGGTAAGTAAATGAATGGTTTCCAGAGACGGCATGGAAAATGTTGACCCCATTTTGCAAAGTAGATGAAAGTGAAGCCAATAGGCAGAATTCGAGCAAGGCCCGCAGACTCGAATATCGGAGGTCTTTTGAGGATTTGCAGTGTTCAACCCTGGAAGTTACACCACAAGCAGTCGAAGAGAGTGACTCTCTGTTTTTCGGCATCCCGGTCAATACCCCAAAAGATCAATCAGCACTAATGTCATTCTCAAGTCATTCCGACGCGCTAGATCTGATGGCATCGATTGATCCTGAGGCACGCGCAGACTTCCCGGACGCGCTGGATCTGATGGCATCGATCGATCCCGAGGCACGCGCAGACTTCCCGGACGCGCTGGATCTGATGGCATCGATCGATCCCGAGGCACGCGCAGACTTCCCGGACGCGCTGGATCTGATGGCATCGATCGACCCTGAGGCATGCGCAGACTTCCCGGACGCGCTGGATCTGATAGCATCGATTGACCCCGAGGCATTCGCAGACTTCCCGGACGCGCTGGATCTGATGGCATCGATCGATCCCGAGGCACGCGCAGACTTCCCGGACATGCTTGATATGATGCCACCGATAAGTTGTGCAGCAAGCTTGGACTTAGCACTCACAGATATACCCGACACTTCGAGGTTTATGGCGCAAGATGAGGGCGACTATCACAGAAATGATGGATATTTTACTGGCGGGCTTATATATACATAATAGTTTGCATTCAATCTGACCCGTGTGAAGAATACCTTCAATGCCCAATGATCAGGTAGCATCTAGTTTTCACCTGGGTCCGGTAATAGAACGATGAGAAAGTCCAACTTCGTATTCAGGACGAAAGGACTAGTATAGTGGATGAAATCACCTGGGGTGAGCGATTCGCCTGCCACTTGCAGCTCGCTCGATGGTGCGTCTTTTTCTGAACCGATAGTGAGGGGAAAGAAGAACGACCGGTGTTTAGGAGTTACGTTGATTGCAGCTTTCCCGGTTATACGATACATTGTATAACCATGGCCCTGCCAAAAATTAGCTACTGAGCAGCATAACCTGGTAGATCCTCTCACCTTAATACGATATCCCAGTTCATCTAGCAGTGGACGCAGTTTCACATGGCGATCGCTGTCCACGCATCGGAAGGTGTTTTTCTCCTCCTCCTCCATTTCGGCCGTTTGGAGCCAAGAAGCCAATTCCTTCAACTTAGAGAGCGCCGAAGGGCTTATTGAGGACCGCGCCATGGCGTTGGGGAATGTCGAGGACTGGACAGACAAGATACGTGAGCAAAACTGATTGTGAGATCAACTGCTTCCAACAAAAGTTAGAAGAAATGATAGCTTGAAGAGAGAATGCTATTTCCTGACGTAGTATGTTGAAAAGTTCAGTCTGGTGCGGGGCCAGCGGGTTGATTAAATCAACGCAGCGGGGCAGAGAACCTTCTGCGAGAGCAGATGCGGTTGATGCCCGATTCAAATTAGGCGTTGGATAATTAAAAGACCGAAGTCACATGACTACCCCAAGCTCGATTGCTGAGTCGCCCGCGAGTTCTAGTCACCTGACAATCCAAGTAGCTGACTCAATGTTCCCCCAATTCTATGCAGAAGATGCGGACACGCCAATTCACCATGTTTGCGTAATTGCTTCACTGCTACTCCTTTCACCAAGGGACCTTGACTTCTGAATCCACTGTCACGTTGAAATAATGTAAAGTCTGTTGTATGAAAGGGCTTTTTTATGGCTAAACTATATACAATGCTGACAGCCTTAGTGATATATTCATTATCATGTGATCTACCATACACCGCCCCATTATTTATGCTGGCATTCTAGAACTGACGCTGCCAATACTCTTCCACCTGAGCATTCCTTATTACCTCTTCGAACTGGCTTGGTCACTGCAATAATCTGTCTATGCTCACAATGAAACTTTGGTTAATATTTCGCTGTCTCATGCCTGATTTTACATGGCCAGACAACGTCCGACCAATCTCTAATGACCGAATGCCATCAACTCCTCGGCCAACGCACCCACGACTGCTACAATTTTGGGGTTTTCTCCACAAATATCTCAGACGATTTTCTCGGTCGTATTGCAACTGGGTCGGAGTCTCTTACGATAATCAGATTGCTCAGCTTCCGTTCGGATTGATTTTGAAATGGTCCGATGGTACTCGGATCGAGGAAGTTTTATCTATGCAGGTTGCACGAAGTGCAGGTCTCCCAGTTCCAAGGGTGATTTGCTATGGTGAGCACCCTGATACACCCCATGCACCGGTCTCGATTCTTATGACTCGCGTGCCCGGTGAAGAATTGGGCCGAGCCTACGAAGCACTCAGCGACGAGGACCGAAACTCAGTTCTAGAAGAGCTCAAAGGCTATCTGAAGATCATACGAGGGTGGCCGAGCCCATGGGACGGGCAGAGGATTTGTTCTCTTCAAGGTACTTCAATAAGGAGTGTCCGCCTTCCTGGTCATTTTGCCGGTCCATTTGAGTCAGAGGAAGACTTTAATGAGTATCTCATACGGCCCGCTTGGTCAGATGGCTTCTCATCAGATACGGAATACAAAGATGCACTGAATCGCGCCAAAATGATGGGAAGCTTGCGCCATCGTATTGTGTTTACCCACGGAGATCTAAAGCATCATAACATTCTGGTGCAAGGAGGCAAGATCACCGGCTTTTTGGATTGGGAATCGGCAGGTTGGTACCCTGAATATTGGGACTTCACTACTGCATTGAGGTTCACGCAGGAAGACTTTTGGTGGTACAACTTTGTGATGAAACTCGGTGGCGAATCATATCTAGCAGAGCTGGATTCTGAAAACGCATTGACTTCTCTGACAGGTGCTTCCTATTATTGGTGAATATTATTCTTACAGGCCTCTTTGTTAGTGGTTGTTTCCCTTAATTTGTTTCAATCAGTGTCCACCGATCAAATTTCAACTACAATACGCGAGATCAAGAGTATATCTTAGAGGCAGTAGACGTATATTATTGTAATATAGAGCCGTTATATAGCTTCCACCGTAGAATTTGTGGTATTTCTTGTAATCCCGCTTCACTTGGGCTTATCGAAAGGCATGCTCGCCCGTCTACTAGCTGCGCTGGTATTTAGCAAATTGCAATTCCAATGGATTTCAGGCGACTTAACACACCTTGATCTTTGAAAAGGGCCTTTACAATCCGCACAAAGATGAAGTTGCCAATGGCCGCGGCTGGACATTGTTTGCGGCAGTCATAGCGTTTGCATTTCCCCAATTCTTGACCTCGGTCTCCAGCGATCCCAGATTGCTGCATTTCAAAATCACCTGTCCATTGATGCTCTTTTGCAGAAGAGCGAGGACCCAAAATAGCCAAACACGGCAAGTGATGCCTGGAACATTTAACTGATTATCGTATGTCCTCATAGTCCGATCCAAGTGACCTTCATATCCCACAGGGACATCAGCAATTCTGATAAGTCCGACAAGAAGAAAGGATTTGAAGACGCCGGCTGTAGGTCCATGACCAGGCATCCAGCCACTACCTTGCTGCGTAATGTGGTATTTTGTGCCGCCAGTGTCGGGATGACGATGGAAGTAGAGGCCCCAGTGGAAATCGTTCTGAACTGGTGGATGATTCCGAATAAAAAGGATGATATAGAGTCCATTGACTTTGAGATTTGTCAATGACATGATCGATTGCGATTTAAAATCACAACTTGGCGAAGTATTTGTATATTCGTGGCGATTGACGGTATGCACTTCTGCTGGCGATATCATCCAATTTATAGTTTCATTCTGCGCCCTGAGTAGTATCGTTAAATGGTCAGGTGCGCGCCAGTACAGTCAACGTTGCATACTTGTTGAGGTGTGCAGCCTTCTCAGCCAAAGCTGCTGTAGAAGACGCCGTGCACTAGCAGTTGCCATTGCTTGGCGTGCGTTTGCAACATAGGTGAAGCTTCCGTACGTAGGTTGCCACGGCGAGATGCGCTGACCTGAGCGCTTAATTATTGGATGACAGACTGATTATTAGCTTAGGTTTTTTATATAATCGGAGATTGATGGCCAATCACATAGCATTCAACACGATCACTTAAGACGCCCAGACCCCGGAAGGCAGGTCCATGGATATCCGACGCATTTGTGAAACAAGTAAATCGTGCACACAGTTATTGATAAAATTTGTAATTGTTGCTGCTTAATTAACTACTTCGGGAAAGCATTTCGTAACGGAGAGAACTGCCCACAATTTCGGTCCTATTGGCCACATGTGAGCGGTATAGTCCAGTCATTCTGCACTAGCCGGCTGCATGTAAAGTCAGTTTTATTCCTTGTTATTTTGAAAAAGCCCCTCAAACAAAAAAATTATCACAACTTCCTACTAGTGCTTGCTGGAGGCAAGATTACTATTCGAATAGGTCCACAAAATATACCAGCACGGTAATTGTTCTAAATCTTCCACTGTCCAGCCAATGCACCTAGCACCCGGTTTCAAGCTACCTCCGTGTTTTACAGCGCTTTGGGTGCTATTCAAGGTCTGTTTAAACATATACTCCAACATGTATTTCTTGTTATGCGTATGTGAGAGCTGCGTTAAGTGTGTTTTCTTGGCTCCTTCGCCCGATTAACAGTCCCTGTCGAAGAGGTGCGTTAATGGGCCCTTCGCACGGTTAACGACCCCTGCCCGTCCATGCATGGCGGTGTTTGTAAGCAAAGCCAGAGAGACGTGTCAAGTGTGTGGCCTTGGCAGCATAGCGTCATCTTGTGGAAATTTTGGATGACGAAAGAGCAATTTGATAAAAGCTCAGCTAGAAAGGATTTCACGATCCCTGCTAGCCGAACGACGGGAACTTCCTGGATACCATGAGCGTCAAGCAAGTCTTCCATACAGTTTTTGATGAGGGATCTTCGTTTATCTCACCATTTAGTGGAGCAAGAGAATCAAACGATCAGTCGAAACGGGGGAATAGCATAGCAAACCTCTCTGATGAGTTTATACGGATTGTTTCCATTAGTCAGTTAACTGCAGCGGAGGTTAATTACTATCTGATGGGTTTTAGAGGCAACCCTGAGAAGGCGGTTTCGAATGCCCTTGACTGGGTGAGAGACAAAAGGGAGATTGCTACGCCCGCTACAGTTGTGATGACCAGAAAGACAGTATAATATTTTAGATTATTTCCTTAGTCGTTGAAAAAGTATCCCACTTAATCCCAAAACAGTATAGCTATTATGCCATGGTATTACGATCGTATTCGTCTCGTGTTTACGAAGGCCGCAGATTTGATTTTCTAGCACTACTTGATGTTCCCACAGCAGTGCTATGACTTCGTAATATCCTCTAGTTTCACGAAACAAAAACGTCTATCGCACACAGCGTAGACATCGCCCAACACACGGAGAGAACCACGCCCGCCCCGCCTCGCGCAGGTTCAATTAGAGATCCGAGAATTATGGTTGGCAGTAATCTATTATAGCGTCTTCGGATTTGGATTCCTCAAAGAGCGTAGAGTGTTCCCTATAATACACGGCATATATTCAGCATCTATCACGGGGCTCGAACTTTGTATATAGAGTTACCAACTCTTATATCCCGTGAACTCACTCTATCAACAGTGATTCAAGATCACATTATCTCGCAAGGCATAACTCTTTTCTACAAAACAGAAAGCAAACTTCTTCATGGGCCAGTCCAGCCCCATCACATTTGGCACGCCAGATCTCGACGCCACTCTTATCAAGGAGCCGCAATATGTGCTATCCCCGGGTTTCTATCCACCGAAATTTACGCCTCCATTTCCAAATATCAACCCCGCGTGGACAATTTGCCATTCTGATGACACACAAGGTTTGTTTGATGTACCAAATAGGGTCCAGCTCTAGCTAACCAACCATTGCAGTGCCGATTGTGATCATTACAAAATGGGGCGCAAGATATTTTGCTATCCCATGTACCCAAGAACTTTCAAATAATTGTCAACAATTATTTCCTAACTGGGGCCCAATGTTTTCAATCGCTCAGACCTATACTGGAATGATGAAGACATCATCAGACTCGACTCTCCATGGGCCGGCAGGAAAGACTGTGTTGCAATTTCTAGATTGGGATATACAGTGTGCTGACGACATCGACGCATACCCAGCAAAGCTAGCCAAACGACTTCAGACGGATGTGTTTGTTCGGATAGATGGAAGGCAGATAGAACATGCCTATAGATGTGATCTACCTTTGAAATTAGGCACACTGGTGACTCTTGGGCAGGGGTACAATTTCTGGTTCATTGAGGTTTCATGGCGAGATTTCACCACTCCCGGAGTTAGATTTGGAGATATCGCAGATTTACTAGCATGCTTCAGTCTATAAGCGGAAACTTTCCCCGTCTCCATTTGTTAGAGCCAGCTTATTTCTATTATTTCCGCTTCCATCTTTACAGTGGAGATATGTTGGATGCCTAGGGCATCACCATGTGACAGAACCTTGGTGCTCTATGTTTGATAGCTCTATCTCCTTTCCTCTCTTTCTCTCTCTTTCCTTCGCTCTATCTTCTCTCTCGGTGTGACGCAATACATACAGTGTTTTAATTCTCCATCTGTATCCGGTATCGCGCCTTTATCAAGATATCATAAGCTCGCTAGTCATCAAGATTACATGGAGGGATAGTAGGGCGATTCGAGGGAAATATGTTGGCAGTTCTGATTCCCCAATAGTGACTGCCTTTTCCTGCTTATGAATTAATCAAAAATCTTCCACTCCCAAAGTTCCTTTGAAAGCATGCCTCTTCTCGTGTGTAATCAAAAACCAGCTAGCCACAAGATATAATTGCGTCCTGGTTCCCCTCGCAATTTCTTTGCAATCACAGAATATGTATCTTGTTCAAAATATCCACTATTCGATACAGCAATACGTATAAATTAACTAAGTATTACCGCTTAGTCTTCTCGAAGTTTAGTCCAGTGGCTCGGCAGGAAATGTTGAAAGCGCTAGAGCGGCCAACGTTTAGTGAGAGTAAGAAGTAATCTGTAAAACCTAAGAAGCAATCTGCAAGACTTTAAAAGCTAGGTGAGACCCTCGATAATTATAAGAAGGACTAAGCGCGATTAATTTTGATATAGAAGAAGACGACGTATCTAAGCTTGTCAAGAGCTTGCGTCTAGAGCCCTCGGCATATTTTGGCCGTGTAAAGAAAGTTGAAGGCTTGACACAGCATGAATTAAGCCTAATTGAAGACATGTTATCCACCAGGAAAATGGAAAAACAGTATGAGAACGGGGAACTCGGTACGATGCCCCGGTTGCGTTCGTAACTATTCATTAACCGTGATGATAGATTCAAACAACTTTGTCTAGTATAGTATATCTTTTTTGGGAAATTCTGGCAATATTTCGGATTCGAACATGCCAAATATATAAAGCTCTGTGCCTCGCTGTCTTGCTATTTTATCCCTCTTCCTTCTATTTTAATTGCGACTACTCTCGATCAAGCTAGACTGGACTGCATGACCCTGGTACAGGAACGCAAAGATGACAACAGCGCAGATCAGATTGCCCGGTTACCGTGAGCAACATCCATCGGAAATGGAGTCCACTGGCTTTGTCGTGTTATCGGCTTCCTCTGACGGGGCCGATATAAAACTTGAGGTGAAGCGGTTTCTACATTTGAAACCAAAAAGAGAACAAGGTCCTTTTGTTTATGGGAGAGGAGATGCAGACACATGTGGGCAGTTTTTGCGATGCGGGACCGAGGAAAGCGACGCAGTGGGTAGGATAAAGCATTTTATTGAACCATTACTGACAAATCATAGTTCGCTGGAAAGATCAAGGAGGCTATAGGCGAAGTTGACTTTCTCATTCGTCAAGGTCCTGTTATCGTTCTCTCCTCCGAAAACCACTCCACATGGGGCACTAGGCTTGCCCACCCATCTCGTAATGCGGTGTCTATCTTTCGAGATCTTTCGGATACAGACGAAACCAGGGTGACGTTCATGCTCTACCCTCCCGATTTACCGAAAGAGGAAATACGGGAGACCCGACCCGTTATGCGGAAGCTGCAGCGAAACGAAATCCTTTTTGTGAACGGATTGGTGAGAATGGAATTAGAAGTCCCTGCGGAGGGCTCTTTTGTCTGGCAAGGAAATAGTGGCGAACCAATGGGGCGTGACATGCTCGGGCCAGAAGTCTTCGAGTTCATGGCGCTTTAGGCATTTCGTGCCCGCCCTAGGGCATCGGAGGTATTGATTAGACGCGGGGCCTAGAGAACTGCGTTAGTCGAGAGAAATAGGAAAAGATTTGAGTTACTACCAATGCTTGATACTTGGACTTTAAAGGCAGAAGTCGTTGCGCGTTAACAAGAATGTTGACATGGCTGGCCCTCAGAAGTTGCATGGCTTTGGCTTCTTCGATAAGGGATAATCGGCGAAAAGTAGGCAAGATCGGGGCTAACAGAATTGCAATTCCCTCACCGAACTCAATCTCAAACCTCCTAAGCTTTCGCCCCTGTTGAAGGGCACTACAAGCATTGTGATCGTTCGACTGCCCTAGGTGGCGAAGGAAAGACGGCATCGACCAGACACCGCGGACCTGACTTCCAGGGTGTGCACGGACTAGTCCTTGCGTCCGTAGCCACTTTTCCTCTTCCAAGGCTAGAGAAGACCATTGAAAGATGGTTTGTAGGCGTAGGATCCATAAACGTGTATTCGTGCCTTGTGAAATAAAATCCACCAAACTTGGAAATTCACTGGTTGTGCTAGCTTCCGCAATTGCCGGGGAGAGGTCGACCTCTAAAAGCCTTAAAAAATGTCCCATCTGAGTGGATAGGTCATGAAGCAGACCCTCCGCAGTAACTGGTGGATTGCGGCGAGCTGGCATTGTCGATGTGTGAAGTGGGAGTCGCTCAGGTGGTTTAAGACCACTTTGTCGCTGACTCAGAAACCTGGAAGGTGACCAAATGGGTATAGCATAGAATGCATCCCGGCGAACTTGGTTTCTTGAAATTCAGGCCCGCCCAGACACTGTGACAGTAGATGCATGCCCCTTAAATGGGTATCTTTGCGATCATGGGTCCAATATATAAACAATACGTCTTGCTAGGGAACTTCAGATCCAAATACCACCCATCAACTATGGCAAACATATCTGCGCACCGTTTTATGCCAAGGCTCAATATATTCACACTGCTAATGGTGTGTTTCGGGGCCGCGAAGGTATAGAGAAACTCTCCTTGGCGGGTACGACCAAATCGACTGACTATTTAGGCCGACACTGAAGATTACCCAACAGAACTACCGGATTCCCCAAGAATTGAGACCCAGCCGGGCAACGTTTACTATCCGAGCACACAAGAGCAGTTAAGCGGGCCGTCAGGCATATGCCTTCATCGTGGTGGAGTGTCTGTTCAAGGAGAAAACCCGAAGCGCAAGGGAGCTCTTGACGCTTTGCCAAATGACGACACAGGCTATTCAGTGATACCGGGGGGAGAAGTAACCAAAGTTTTAGCTATCGAGTATTACGAGAACCCTGCTTTGGCCACTGCAAAACTACATGTTCTTTTTGAATCTAGAGGGAAGAAAACAAAGGGATGGTTTGAATATGAGGAAATTCGAAGGCTACCTGGTACAAAGAAAGCGCTGGCAGCATTTGGGCCAACGTGGATATAGGGAAGACATATTGCACAGGGTATTTGGGACCAATACAGAGTAAATGGATGTCGTCTTAATTCAATCTTCGCTATTCAAGATAAAATATTATGTTAACGAGATTGTACATCATATGATATCTCATATAGAATGCCCTTGAGAGATTAAATAAATAAATTAGGTGTTAGTATCTGGGTACCGAATAATGGCTATGTAGGGTATGCATTCTAAGCTATACTGTTTTAGGGTTTGCAACCGAGCCCCAGGTCATAATTAATCATCCCGTGTAATAGCGAGGATGCAAGGGTATAAACGGCAACCTGTATTTCAAACCCTTCGGCCGTTCGATTCTCAATGATTGGTATGGCTATGGAGGATATTATCTTCTACCTAACTACTAGAACAATCAGGAATTCGGTGGCAGAACTGCGCCAAGTTAGAAATACAACACACGTCACATAGCATCACCAAAGATAAAAGCAAGAGCATGCCGATCATTATGGTCCGAGGACGTAAGAAGGATCAGAATATAGGGAGGCGGTAGCACGGAAGCAGGCCACTGGCTAAACTAACCGACATAGTGGATGGAGACATTCAAGGTCTGGTGTAGGGTATGCATTCCGAGCTATTCCGTTTTGGGATTATATGGACTTGCGAAATTTGAAAGAAGACTTGGGCGTAATTGGCGGAGCCCGTTCTCTTCTATAAGACGCCGGTCGCCACCTCAGCAAAAGTAGTGTCTGCCGGACACCGAGACTTTCAACTACCAAAGATGGAACCGCTCCAAGTCAGTGTATCCTCTCCCTTCACCTACTAGTATGTTCCTAAACTCGTCACGTAGGATACCAACGCTGAGTCTGTCAATTCCGAGGACCGTATGCTATTTCTCTTGCAGCCTCGGCTCTTAACCTTGTCTCGCTTGATCGGATGCTGACTGTTCCCCTAGGAAGGCACTATACGCACGCGGATCCGGACCCAGCAAACGGCTACTCCGACAAATTTCTACGGACAGTTTCACACCCGCTAAGAGGAAACTCTAACATGTACCCCGATACGTCTGTGCATTCACTGCCAAGTCTGGTTCGCCCTGATCCAAATTCCCACCAGCAACTAGTAAAGGACTCATCTGATTACCGCGGTAATACGGGTGCGACCCTGGATCAGTACAGCAGTGCTAGGCATACATTTCCTTCACATCAGCATACGCCACGCAGAGCTACAATTGTATGTTGAGATTAGAGAAAACAGATTGCTATGGGTATTTTGGACTAATATAAGCTGCATAGCCTTGTGGATCGTGCCGAGTTAGCAAGAGAAAATGTGATGAGGGACGCCCGACTTGTGATCACTGTCAATACTACAATGTTCCCTGTGTCTACAGAATGCCCCAAAAAAAGTCGGATACGCAGCTGAACCTTATGCTACAACAGATCAATAAGCTGGATAAGCATGTTGAGAAAAAATGCGAAATTTTGATGGACCAAATTAGCAATCTGGGTAATGTTGACCCAAACCTAGCTCCGACTGGCTCGGAATTCAGCCAAAATAGGGTTGAAGGTCAGGAGGATGAGGGAGAGCTCTCTATTCCATTGAAGCACACTACCGCAGCTCACAAGCTACTGGGGTGGCCGGCAGTCAATGAGCTGCTACACCCTCTGCTATATAGCGAGGATTATGTCATGCAGTTCGAAGAAAGTCGCGGGCTGATCAGCATATTCGGCCAAGGCGAGTTCTCATACTCTGCTGACGATCGTCAAGTACCCACGGGAAACATCTCCAATGGCCCTAAAACAACCAGTCCACAGGGTGCTGGCGCAGCATCGAATGATGATGTTGACATCGACGAATTTGGCAACTTGAAGCTGGATGCTACGACCGCTATGCGCTACTACAATAGCTACCGCAGGCATATGTTTAAGCTTCACCCGTTTCTTAGGGAGGGTGAACTCGACACCATGGTCCGTAGCTTCATCCTGTGTTATGCGAGGTCAGTTTCGAATGACACGCAACCATCTTGCGATGGTCTGCCACCCGTTCAAAGCACGCCGTTAAACAAAAGCCTGCGCATACATGGCGAGCTTACGGAGACCAATGCCAACCCGCCGCGGCCACGAGTCGGTAAAAACATTGACAACGCCTTGGTCATGCTTTGCCTCGCCCTTGGGGCTATTTGCGAAACTCGTGTGCCGCTTTCTGGGCCTATTTTCCCTGGCCAGACCCTCTATGGATACGCAACCATAATACTAGGTCATCTACAGGGTGGAAACGATCTAGAACATATTCATGCCGCGTTGCTTGCTGGCCTTTATATGGGTCAATTGGCCCATCCTTTCCAGAGCCACAGTTGGATTTCTCAGGCCTGCAGAGCCTGCCAGGTGCTTGTGAGAACTAAGCGATATGAGCAGCTTGAGGAGGGGCTTACGCGGGACCTGCACAACTTCGCATACTGGACTTGTTTACAATTAGAGAGCGATCTTCTCGCAGAGTTGGACATTCCACCGAGCGGTATCTCCCTCCTCGAGGGTCGGATCTCGATTCCGAAAGGCAAATGGTCAATCATTCAACCAAACGATCACATCAATACTATGGTAATGATGTATTATTCTGCTCAAATTCACCTACGCAAATTGCTAAACCGAGTTCATACATGTCTATACAAATCCAAAACGCAAGGCCAGACAAACTGGTCCTCTACCCTTCAAGAGGCGTTGAGTCTAAATCTCGACCGCTGGCGCCAAAGCCTACCACAAAGTATGCAGTGGGACGATGCCGACCCGCCAGCAAACGAAATCAACGCTGCTCGTATGCGTGCCAAGTATTACGGTGCTCGGTATATTATCCACCGACCTCTTCTCTATCATGCACTGCACTACGGCAACACAGGTGTACGCACTGGTCCACTCGGCCAACTTTTATTTGACTCACCCAGTGACAATGGCTCTATACCGGCGGCAGGGTGGCAGCCTCCAAAAGTCAGTTTGAATAATATACCGAGAAAGCTGAGAGCTGCCTGTGATATCTGCATCAAATCTGCTATCAAGAGTACGGAGGCCTTTGACGGTTTGGGTGGAGATCGGTTAGTGGTTACCAACATCTTCGGCACTGCCCATGCGTAAGGAATCCCCTGACACCTGTATCACATATATAGAGATAGTACTAACATTATTTCTTTGCAGTCAATTCGGCAATATGCTCGTCCTAGCTGCGACTTATAAGTCGAGTCTGAACGAGCTCGTCGAGAAAGGAAAACTCGACCGTCTTCTCAAACGCACAATAGGCTTCCTCGCCCAAAGCAAAGACATATCCCCCACCCTCCGCGCCGACGGTCATATTCTCACTGAACTCTACCGGAATATCTTCGGTCGTCTTCCTGACATCGGGCAAGCTACTAGCGTGCGCGTCTCTTAAACGTAGATCCTCAGGTTCCGGGATATGGGCGGGGAGAACTGTAGAGCTAGCTGTCTCTGAGAGTGCTGAGTTAAGGGAACTGGGTATGAATTGGGCATGTGGTGAATTGGGCATGTGGTGAATTGGGCATGTGGTGGATTGGGCATGTGATGAATGGTATCAGGGACATCGTTATCACTGCGGAACGTATTCCGTCGTGCTTTCTTCTATTCAGTCGCGTCGTGCGTTGACACATCTCGAGCTCCGAGGTAGTATTTAGAGAAGGGTGGAACCTTGGGAAAAAAATAGATTCAGCTCAGCAGCTAAGTTTCGAAAGCTCTTTGTCAGCGGGTCAATACTGAATATCCAGGTGCACGTAATGGGTCGCCGGGAAGGAAAACAATTTCTATAGCGAAATGGGAAAAAATGGTCTAAAAAGACCCACTAAGTTTGACCCTCACGGCTAATCAGGAAGGAAATAGATTACTGATTTATGTTGCAGGTATCAAAGTGATAAGGTATTCTCTCGGGGTCCCATACGTCTTATCTGTAATACGCTCTTATTTCGAGCCATATAGGTCTACGCATGTCCTAAGAGGGGGGTTTTTATCGTGTCGATGGGAATAACCTTAGTTTACTGGATACCTGTCAACACACCTGGAGCTCCCACAAGCGACGCGGTTCTGGAGCGGAACTTGCCCGAAGGGAACATAATCCTCATGCGAACCGCCTCATACCCTGCCGTCGATAAATGAGACCATATGAAAGGATATGTAGACAATAGATAAACGGAACATTAATTGATTTGTCCCCAATGTGATAACCTCAAAAGGTTTCAGATACCGAGTTGCGTTCTATATACATGCGGGCCAACAGAAGATTTTAGCATCTCGTAGTTCCTTCCCTTTGATCCGCACTGCAAATACTCACACTGTCATACTCCGCATTCATTGTCACTGTCTGCATGTATGGACATCGCTTAGTAGGCTCCTATTCAATTCTTCTTGCGGAATAGAATCCACTTTTTGCCATAATGGGAAACAATGCGTGCCGAAATTTGTTTTGTAGTGTTGGGCCTTGTAAAGGGAAATGCTCTGATGTACAGGGTAGCAGCCGTCACAGTTATGCGTTCGCTTAGCTTTGTTTCATTTAGCCCCTTCACCACGACTGATGGTTCTGTTACGCTCATTCTCATCTCAACGCTGTACTTTGCAGCTCGACGGGCTGAACAAATAACGAGTGCGGTAATCCCTCGGATGTTTCTCGTTCTACCTCCTTTCTTTCCTTTTCTTGAATATTTCTCCCATTCCAGGATTTCATTTTGAAACTCTAACCCAAAGCTAGATTAACGGTCTTTGCCTCCATTTGTCAAAAATATGCCCTCCAACGTCCAGAATGTCGGCATCAAGGCCCTGGAAATTTATTTCCCTAGTCGAGTACGTATAATTGAGTGCCCAACCTGAAATTGAAGGCATTGGCCAACTAACATAACTTCTCTTATACAGTACGTTCCACAAAGCGAGCTTGAGACCTATCTGGGGGCCAGTGCTGGTAAATTCACGATTGGCCTGGGTCAGCAGAAGATGAGCTTCTGTGATGACCGTGAAGGTATACAGACGGACTTGATGGCCCATGCTCCGTGCGCTGTGCTAATATAATTGGCCACATTCATAGATATCTATTCCATGGCGCTTACAGCGGTCTCGTCCCTGATGACAAAGTACCATATTGACCCGATGTCCATTGGCCGGTTGGAAGTGGGGACGGAAACGTTGCTTGACAAATCAAAATCTTGCAAGTCGGTTCTCATGCAACTGTTCGGGGAGAACTCGGATATCGAGGGAGTGGACACCTACAACGCCTGCTATGGTGCAACCAGTGCCTTGTTGAATGCGGCCAACTGGATCGAATCGTCCACGTGGGACGGGCGCGACGCCATTGTCGTGGCGGGCGACATCGCTCTGTACGACAAGCCCGCCGCTCGCCCGACCGGCGGCGCCGGCTGTGTAGTCATGCTAATTGGCCCCGATGCACCGCTGGTGTTGGAGCCCTTTCGTGGAACGTACATGAAGCACGTCTACGACTTCTACAAGCCGGACTTTAAATCCGAGTACCCCATAGTCGATGGATATTTCTCCAACGCATGCTATCTCGAGGCATTGGACAAGTGCTACGAACGGTACCGTACCAAATCTCTGGCTAAAAATGCCGGGTTCGCAAACGAGCCCGTAAATCCCGCGAGGAGCTTTTTGGATACCTTTGACTATTTCGCCTTCCATGCGCCTTACTGCAAGCTCGTCTCCAAGGCGTACGGTCGTCTGTTGCTCAACGATCTCCGGACTCAGCCTAACTACTTTGGCGATATTCCAGCAGCGATCCGCGACATTGAGCAGTCTGTGTCTCTGACGGACAAAGGCGTTGAGAAGACTTGCATCGGGCTAACCAAGGAAAGGTTCCTCGAGCGTGTCCAACCATCCATTACAGTATCCACAAATTGCGGGAACATGTACACCGCTAGTGTCTACTCCGGGCTGGTGAGCTTGCTGAGCAATGTTTGTAGTAAGGAACTACAGAACAAGCGCATCGGCATGTTCAGCTATGGCGGTGGTCTGGCTAGCACTCTATGTAGCTTTCGTGTCAAGGGGGATACTTCTTTGATCGCGGAGCAGGTTCGGTTGAATGAGCGTCTGGAAAGTCGCACGGCGGTCTCGCCAGAGTTTTATAACGAGGTATGCTTTCCGTTTCTTGGTTGGTCAAGAAGCATAATATCTAGGCGGTTAGTTTCTAACAATGATAGATGTGCAACCTCCGCGAGAAAGCCTATCAGCGGAAGAGCTATACACCCGAGGGGAGCGTCGATAGCCTGGCTCCCAGTACCTATTACCTTGTCCATGTTGACGAGATGTTTCGACGAAGTTATGAGAAAAAGCTGGTTGGCTGAGGAACAAAGCACCACGTGATACAACAGATATAGTGGCTTTACGCTCTGTGAATATTCGGAGAAGACTGTTGTCGAAGACTCGATATCTACAACCACGTGAGTGCATTTGTGTCACGGCGGCATCTCCATGAGGCTCTTCAAGCAGGACGAGTAAACGCGGCTGACTTAATGAATTATATTAGCGACTCAGGACTTCTCCATGTCTTAAAGCTTTAGTTTCTCTTACTTCTGGGGCTTAAAGCTTGCAGAGATTTGAGGGCCTCGATATGGTGTATAAAATGGCATTTTGTTGACTTTGTACCGCGAGGATTTGAACTTAGTTCCTGGTATTGCTCCATGTAGACACCTACCTAGGTACGCGCCCAGTTGTTAACGAATTAGGCCCCCAATGGCGGCCACTGTCCTTACCCTGTAGGACTTCTTAGAGTTGCCCATTCAGAGACCCTCTAAAGTGATACTGACTCCGCTAACTTGGATGACTGCCAAGAAACCTCCCTCCATTGCTTGGCATTGTCTCTGTCAAGTAACGCCAATGCAGTGACATCCCCGTTCCGAATAGGCCCTTTTGATCCCGTATTGTGGTACAACACGTGTTTCCTTGCCGTATATTTGATTGGTTGTTGACTTGATCGGGAGCTTACTGCGCGTCTTGATACGGAACATTCTCGCTGTGGTCAGTCTCCGGCAGTGCTAAATTGAGTGGGAGTGGGTATAAATTGGACATTGATGAATTGGGCATGTGATGAATGGTATCTGGGACATCGTTGTCACTGCGGAATGTGTAGGTTGACATAGACACGGATCATTCTGGGGTTAGGATTCAATATCTGGCGGTGGTGAATTGCGGACAGTGATACGAAGGACGATCGTTGTTTTTGCCCCCTAGTTGGGCATTGCCTAGTGGTAGGTCACTGTAACGGCTGAATTGCCTTGACGAATTTAACGAATAACAACGCTGGTTAAGGTCGGGGGACGTAATGCTTTGTAGGGTATGCATTCTGGGCTATACTGTTTTGGGATGATACGACCTTTGCACATTTTGTTGGCGGTGTCAGTTGATTGCTTACAAACCCTGGTATAAATGGAGTTTCCCCTTATCCCTCTTCTAGACTTTATATTTTGCCTACTTGTGAGTCTGAATCATAACTTGACTCCTTATTTTACCCTCAACTACAATCATCAGGTATTTTGCATTCAATACTTACATGACCATTTACTGACTCTTTCTTTCCTCAGAGCAGTAGCTATTCAAATGAAAGGCATTATGGTATCTTTACAAAACAGCCTATCTGATTCCAACGGTGCTTCTGGTAATTGGCCGTTTTCTGGTCACGTCAACCAGCTCCAACATGATCATCAGATGGGAAACAGCAGTATAGAAGACCAAAACTACTCCTACTCGGACGATGGGGAAGAACCTCAGGAATTGATCAAGCAACTACGGACCCACATCGTCACCGAGGAGCAACTGATCAATGAAGGGAAGGAAACTTGTACTGGTCTTGTCATGGTGGAAATGATATGCATTGTGATCGACAGGCAACAAGCACAATCAAAGGCTGAATTATCACAGCCTCAGTGGCAAATGCTCGTCTCGCTACACCGAATGCTACTCGATAAACACTATGACTTTTTCATCGCCTCCCAACACCCGTCAGCTGGCCCTACTCTCAAAGGACTAGCCGGCAAGTACGCTATGCCGGCGCGTATGTGGCGGTATGGCGTATACTCATTCTTAGAGCTGTTACGCCAGAAGCTCCCCGGCTCGATGGAGTATATGCTTGATTTCGTCCATCTCTCGTACTCAATGATAACACTAGTACTGGAAAGCGCGCCAGATTTCAGAGATACTTGGATTGAGTGTCTAGGCGACTTAGCACGGTACCGGATGGCCGTGGAGGAATTCGATCAAAGGGACCACGAACTCTGGGCAGGGATATCGAGGTATTGGTACAACCAGGTCGAAACTCAAGAGAATGGCCGTATCCAGCATCATCTTGCTGTTTTAGCCTACCCGGATTTACTTCAGCAGCTTTTTCACTACACGAAAGCATTGATCAGCGTGCGCGCATTCCCAGCTGCTTCCGATAGTATAATTAAGCTGGTCATTCCTCTAATAAATGTGCATAGACAGAAGGGGAATTTGACTGCTTCATTTGTGAATACTCACGCTGCGCTTCTTATGCAAGATCCGGTTGACGAGTTTGTTTCTCGGGCGAATATTTTTCTTGCTACTCTACAAAACGATATTAGCAAGGTAAGCTGGAACGGGCAGCAAGGTGTGCAATTCATGTCTTGCAATATCTCCGCGATATTTCAATATGGAAGCAAATATGGAGTTATGGAAACAGTTTTCACATTGAAGTCACGCAATCCTACGGAAGAAGATCGCCTAGTGGCAATGGAATGGGCATCTACTGCATCCAACTATACCACATATAGCGATATCTCATCCCAGCTTCTATTCCGAGCAAGCTCTCTCGCCTTTCACACATTGATTGTTATGCTAGGCCAAGTTGGGGACGCAAATATGTATCCGAGCGTCCATATCTCTATGGCATTTGTGTGGTGTCTCGCGCTCAACCCAGCGGCTATACAAAGACTAGAACCGCTGGTTCCATGGTCGTTACTTGCAACCTACCTCAACAGCTTGTACGATCCCGACACGCTCATTTCGAAGATCGAAGACGAAACATTCCCATTCCTTGATGATTCAACTGCACAACAGTTACCGGAGGACTTTTTGATTGGAGGACAGGCATGGAGCCAGGTTTACTACCCCGAAAAATTCTTCGAGGGAGCTGCTCCTACAGAACCATCAATCGAATCTCTGTCGAGTACCCTTGTTAGAAGACATCGATGTCTTTGGCTTGGAGTACGGATCGCAACTGTCTGTTTGTCCTACTCCTACTAGCAAATTTCAAACTGACCGTCTCATATTAGTTGACCCGCTGGATTACATACGATCAGACGCGACACTTCACACCCACTCAACTAGCAGACAAATTTGCGCAAACAGCAGCCGTTCAGATGGGCAATCCCCGGGGATTGGCGGGATCAGCCTGATATCGATGGATTGTGCTAGGCGAGACCAACCTCTGCACCTATGTAGAAGCCGGTGCTATTGATCGATTGTGAGATAGAACAATAACGAGCTCCCCGGGCTTATAACTGTTGAGATCTACAACGTAGATATGATTATGAAGCACAATAATATTGTCAAATCTGGCAGTCTGTAAGCTGAAATAAACTAAAAGCCATCTGTGAGGCCAGCTCATCAGAACATTAGGGATATAACTGCGGTTCAGGAAAAGATTCGAAAAAGAACTGGCGAGGTGTTTGAGGCCGGCTCATAGCAACAATTCTTGTATAGAACCAATTATGTATTCTAAACTATATTCTTTTGGGATTAAGTGACTCTTGGATAGTGAGAACTTATAGATGAAAAAGGTGTACGACTATCTGCACTTTTAACATCAATAATTACAATGTCACAATCACAATCCGGACATGCTCAGATCTCCATGCTTTCTGTCCAAACATAACCTTCCATATCAACCTGAGAATCTTTCCGTTCCCTGAACGCATGGAGGATTATATCTTTCTTGCTTTCGAGTATAGCAAGTCCTCTTTGGTGCCGGGAATCATTTTCATCGTATGGAGGTGAGTGACGTATTTGAGCTTCCGTGACCCAACAGTAATCGAGGTGTTCATCTCCCCTTAACCGTATAGGCCCTTCGTTTGTGCCGACGGGCTGCTGTTTCGTGTCGCACCATCTTCGCTCGACCGTGAGTTGCTCACGAACTTCCATAACAAATGTGTATCTTGTCATCGGAACTCCCTTATGTATCCACGAATCCTTGTAGACCTGAGAAGAAACGCGCGAGCCGTGCAAGTTGACTTCTTCTTTTGTCTCACGTACGGCAGTACTCAAAATAGTTTTATCGACTATCTCTTTGGACCCCCCCGCTACCTCCCAGGAGAAGGCCCATGAGTTCTCTTTGTAGTTGCCGTTATCATCTTTGCCGTGTGGAGCCCGTTGACAGAGAAGCAATTTGTCATGATGGAAAATAAGGGTACTGGCCGAAAGTCGCTCAGTTTCCGGTTCTTTTGCTTGCAGAACATCGAAGGGAACATCGACCTCTTCCACTGGAATAGTCGAAAAGACCATGATGAGAGAGTTGGTGTATCTTGCCGTACGCTCACTGCTTATTCCTACGGGGGACACCAGGTATTTAAGCCGTCATATCGAGTTATCTAATAAAAGTAGATTTGTCACACCGCGCTTTTGCCGCCTTCGTATAGAAAGGCTCTGCTGCAGCCACGCATTACTTGGCATTACCCATTTCAGGAGCATGCATATATTATCACAGAGCCTGGGCAGGCCTACGAACTTTATGGGGATGCATTCCATGCTATACCCAGACCAGCGATAGCAGTGATCACACGTGACTACCTGTACCCTAACTCTGTGACTATGTAGAAGGTTGATTCCTTGTTTTATGGTTCTCGCTTCTAATGAATCAAGCCCTGTGGGCTGATTACTATCAAACTCAATGTCTGATTCGGCACTAGATTCGGAACTAGACTCTTCACCGGCTGGGAGCTGATCGCGGGTCGAGTCAGACTGGATGTCGCCACTATCAGAAGTGGAGCTGGTATCTTCCTCAGCCCTAGGATTTGGTGTCTTAATGATTTGCTCGGCCCACGATGCCCTGATATTCCAAGCCCGAGGAAGAAAATATCGTTTGTTGAAGGCACTTATAAGATCGCGGGTCTTATGGAAAGCCTCCCAAAACTCCTCTGCGGAGTTACTTGCGAATGACTGATTTGCTGCTTGCTGCCAGGCCTGGCATTGGGCATTGTAGCCAGCCTCTGGAATAGTACCAGTATCAATGTCGGTTACCCCATGCTCGTTGCTGGCACCTCGAATATGTTGGTTTAGCCTTTGAAAGAATTCATGACATTCTTGGTACAGAGGGGCGTCGACTGTAAAGAACTCCTCAACCATTTTTTCCGACCATTTCGCTGTCTGATTTCGAATGACGTTCTTGACCTAGCGGCTTAGTGGCTCTAAATTTTGCTCAATGGGAGCAGATTGATCAGAAGCATCGCTAAGTTTGGGATCCGTTTCGCTATTTGATTCGTAATCACTCGCATTTGGGGAAAAGTCACCTTCACGGGTTGGACTTCTAGCAAACCTCGCTCTTCGTTCAGGGGTTTTGGCTTTCATATCTCGACTAGCTTTTGGCCTCAATTCGCGTGCTCTCGAGGACTCACTTTGTTGGGGTTCGGGTTCGGAGCCCACTTCCGGCGGGTGTTTTGATATCACGGGCGTTTCTCTGGGCCTGCTGGGCCTTTTTAGCCTTCTTTCTCTCTCTCGACTTCTTAGACATAGTCAACAAATCTTTTGTTTCTGAAGAGAGTTTTTACCGTTAAGTTCGAAGAAAGCATACTAGATTCATACAAATTTTGAGCCGCGGCAGTGGATATACGGACCCGTACACGAGGTTGCGGGTTCCAAGCACAATGCTGTGCCTGAAATCATGCTGCAGATCAAAAACCATGCTCCAGGCCAGAAACCTTGCTACAGGCTAGAAACCATACTGCAGGTCAGGAACTATGCTGGTGCAGGCCAGAACCTATGCTGCGTGGAAGAGCCCTCACATGGCCCTAGTTATTAGATGAGGGCTAAGCTAAAGCAGTCTGCATAAAGGGCCGCCGTACAATGGAAGCGGCAGCGGGCCACAAAAGGTCGTGACGATGCTCTGAGTTAGTGTTAGGAAGTGGATCTATTGTGATCACCTGATGTGACCCCATTTGTGAGGACTGGCAGCAGAAAGCTTCTCTTCCTCTCTCTCCACCCCTTCACCGAATCAATCTTCTTGATCTCTTCTCCATCTCAATTAGGATCATCCTGCATATTGTTCGCGAGGGGACTACTACTTCCTGTACTGTACACACGGTACTTTCTATTGACAAATCTTAGAATATGGCAATAGTGGTTTCCATTTTTTAGATGTAGTGTCTTGTACGGAAGCTATTAATTGCCCGAATCCGCTTGAGCACTGTAGGCATTTAGACTGATAAACTATACAGTAGGGAGAATAGAAAGAAGAGATATAGAGAAGAAAATTGTCATGGAGTATATACCAAAACCTTAATACTATGTTGTTCACATGTAGACCCCCAGTTACGATTCGATAAAGGCGTTGGGAAAAATCTCAGTTTGCAGGAGGTAAGGGATATTACGTCAGTGGCCTTACAAGTGGATTCATAGATTGCAGATCTGTCTATACCGAAAATGTGATTGCGGTAATTTTGATAGTCTACTTGGATTAAACCAAGAAAGATGGTGGAGAGAAGTTATCTGCTGCAAGTCTTGACAAATAGGATCATATCAGGTGATCGCAACATTTTTATGGCCCAGCAATACATTATAATCCGGTCCTTAGACATGGCATATATCCAAGGGAGAGATCTAACTAAATTAGATGGAGAACACAATTCCAATATGTTATGATTAATGATAAGTCTACTCTAGTGGGCTCGCCTCTCCTGTTGAAAAGAAAAACATCCAAATGCGGATGTGATTGGCAAAATCATCTCCTTACACGCTTTGTACGAGTGGTAGTTATACTATCCCGATACTTCCTCTTGTGTAATCTGGAACAGGCCGAGCAGTCCTGAATTTTCTGACAACTGCCAGAGCTGATGAAAGGAGAGTTGAGGCCCTGTTGTACCTCAAACCATTGCATGCTTTTAGGAAAGCCACTTATCTTCCTTTCGACGCCTTTCGCCAACCGTAGCGAAATTGTGACAGTTTCTGTAGGGTGTCGGACATAGAATGAAACATGTTTGTTGTAAAGGGAGCACATCTGACAGGCTTGTAAATCCAGCGAGGCTAGGGTCTCATTCGAAGTAACGAACTCCATCTCAGGCTGGTATAGAGTTATGAGTGCTTTGACTATATTTTGATAGACGCCGCGACACCTAATAGAGCCTTCACATAAATAGAAGCCTCCATCATAGATGGGAGAAGTATCGAGTTGGAAGTAGAAGTTTGAAACCAATAGTGCTGTTGCAACCTCAATAAGCGGGCCTCGAGGGCTTAGGTGTATCTGATCTTTCTGGAACGGTATACTTTGGACATCGTCAAGCCGAATTGGGAATGGAAGCTCAGTATTTAACCGAAAGAAGTCTTGCCTACGTCCCTCATCCAAGCCATTTCTGACATCACCATATTTGGTATGTCCATCAAGAAAGTCCATAAAAGAAGTCCATAGCCTCTGTATGGAGTGGGTCTTTCTCCTGGATAGGCCCTTAGAGACTTCTCCAGTTCCTAGAGAGATGGTGACATCGTGGGATACATTTTTATCCCAGATACGGGAAGACTCCCACATTGCTAGCTCAATAGGGTTGGGAAACCCAAGCCCACCATCCCAAAACTCTTGACCAGCCAACGTGATAGGCTTAAAGAAACTATAGTGATTATTAGCGAGGATGAAAAATATGGACATATGGACATACATAGGCGCTGCGGTTGTTGCACGAGCACTATCTCAGTTTAGCACTCTCATGTAAGAGCAATGATTGGGTTCCAACTTACGCTTGCCATAGCGAAGCTTCATCATGGATGTCTTCAGGTCTAACCACTGTATACCCTGGAAGAAAGCCATTAGGAAGGGAGACAAGAATCGTCAAAATCGTACATACCTATCGGTTGTGCTGAGCCGTTGTAGTTTGTGAATATTGACCGTGCATTTCCCCCAGATATCGCAGTAAGTGCCACTTTTGTTCCAGATACTATGCCAGGGACGTAACCAAATAACTGTCCAGGTAAAGTCTCTTGAAGGGCACCTTCCAGAAATCGCTCATCGTACATTGCATCGCTAGTCATATACTTGACCACCGCTTTCAATCGACCTAAGGCCGAGCCAGAAGTTGAAAAGCATCGACGGGCAAGCGTCTCAAACACAGTGGTACAATGAGAGATAGGCCATTTTTGATGGAATTTGGCCAGTACAGTTAGCCCCCCTGGTCTGTCAGCTATGTATCCTACTCCTGACATCATCGAGAACTCACCTGAGCTTGTACCGAGTGCAAGATCAATCATGTCGTGGATTGGACATTCTCCAAGTAATTTCTGTAATTCACCCAGGAACTCAAGGGGTGTCACACCTCGCGCACCACCACCATCAATGCCTATAAGCCTCACACCAGCTGTTGGTGGTTTGATATTCACTAGTAATTCGCCACCATCGCCAAAGAGACAATCTAGACGAATTTGAGTATCCGATTTTGGAAGTGGGAGGCCAAATAAAGCAGCGCATGAATCACATATTGAGTGACCGCAGCTCAAGTGTCTCTCGGGAGATCGGCAAAGGCACCAGATACAGACTGTATTTGTCATGACCTGACGTAGGAACCTGCTATACCTTTCAGCGACTGCTCTGTGAAGCTGTGCGGCATCCGTATATCCATATTCTAGAGCCTCTAATGTATCGTTACACTGAGCTTGAACCTCTCGATCTAGATAGGCAGAGGATTGTGGTCCATAGGAGGATTGAAATGCCTTAGTGCAATGAGACCTGTATAGATTGTGGTATATCAAATAAGGGTCAAAGACTATGGAGGTTAGGGAGTGATAAGGAAGCGTGTAGAATGCGGACTCACGATGCATCCTTTTCGGGTATGCATTGACCATAATGCTTGAGGCAACAAATGCTGCGACCATGTTGTATGGGATTTTGAAGTGAACACAGAGCTTGAGAAACTTATGCAGATATACGTGGTGGTCTTCTTTAACTGGATCCGCGTCTCTTGCGACCTTAATAAAGTCGAATACCTCCCCCGGGTTATATGCTGTGTGCTTCACTGCCGAGTTGAAAAAATGCAGAAGGTGAGTGGCGGAGAAGAGGCACCTGAGGCTTGATTTTATCGCTCTCAATTCTTCCATGTGATATCGAATCTCCGCGTGGAGCCGTTGATAGCGGGTAGATGGGGAAAGATATTTGCCTGCTAGTTGAAAGATCTTGAGTGTGGAAAAGCTTGAAGAAAGTTGGCGTCCAATGTTAGATGAGGCCAGGTAGTCCTCTATGCGAGCCTCACTAAACTTGCCATCTTCAGAAAGAACAATGAGTAGTCTAGGACGCGTATCGGAAGGCAAAGAAGAAGCATTTTGAACCTCAACCCACGCTACTAAGCGCAACATGATTGCTTCTAATGTTTGAAAGTCATCGGCAAAAATGCAAATGACATCACTGAAGGTGAAGACGAGTCTAGAATATAGAACATCGACAACGGCACGTGATGCAGTTGTGTGCCATGTTGTAGAATGAGACGTAGTTTCATGACACCACACGTGAGCCTTTTCAGAAAAAGGAATCTGGAAGGGGTTGCTGTCGGCAAAAAGCACAGGATTGTCGCTCGTCAAAGACGCCGTATCAACCCGTAGGTTGACATTTGCTCGATCTCCACGGCGTATGTTATTTCTAGTAAAGATGTTCCGCAGGGCCTCATCTTTTGTTGAAGTACCCAAAAAGAGACAAACCTGCGGGTGTTGAGAGTCTGGGTCAGGCATTTCGCGAACCAGAGCACCCAATCGATCGGTTCTTTCTATAATGAGCTCTTTCAAATCGCGGTTCTCTATGACACGAAGCCATCCGGCATGTTTACAAGAAGCCATTCTTTGATATGTCGTTCTTTGTGTGGGTTATCTTCAATTTATAAAACCATAGGAGATCTTTTAAGGTAGCAAGGGATATATGCTCAAAGGTAAAATTGTTTCAATGTGCAAAGTAGGCGATCTAAAAATAACATCCGCTTGAATAAGAACGAGCAAATGCTAAATGCGGATCATGTGTTTTCATCATGGGAAATATTATCCAGGATAACAAATTGCTGCCGGTTTGAGATTTCCATGTTTGAAATGTTGTTCTCGAGCTGTTTGACTAACGTCATCATTCTTTCGATAGATTGGAGAAAGTCATTGGCAATTTCGATATATTCTCGACGTTCGTTGTGTAGAGCCTTGATGAAGTCCTGTTTTGAGGGGATTGTGGGATCTGTATTTGTTGTTTTTTTCTACCATCAATCAGACCCGGGGTTTAGCAACAAGCATCTATTTAGAACTGACCTCCATTGCATAGAAGAAACTCTGGGCAAGTTTGACTCATATTGACAGTATAAGACCTTTTATTTCAACGAGCCATCACAAATTAGCCGCCCTGATGATAGCCTACGGATCTTAGCTCGTGAAAGCAATGCTACAAAAGATAACAAACAGAGCGCCTCCTAACGACACACAAGGGGTAACGCCCACGAGGGGCCCACAAGTGATAACGCCCACGAGGGGCCCACAAGGGCGTAACGCCCACAAGAGGATGACCACGAATTGAGAGCCGCAAACTGTCAGTAAGTTGGTCACATGACCGTATGACCCACATATTAAACATCGGCTATCTCGCTTCGGGATTCCCCAGGTGATAACTCCGTTCACCGTTTACAATACTAGGACGCCATCAGTGACGCCACGGGAACACCCACGGATAGAACGCCTCTAGAGAGAGCCCTTGCGAGAGAGGAACGGGGAGGCAAGCAGGCGGGGGGCTCCGGATCCACGTTCCGGAACGCCCCACATGGGGAACGAACGCCTGGAAGGAGTCCTTCCCGCGATATCACGTCACATAAGCTGGAAGAGGCGGGACAATCTCGGTTGCGCAGGAGGTTCCTCATGTAGGAGGACACGTAACAAGGCTGAATGCTACGTAAATCATCGAGGGACCCTCTGTGCCTTCGCCTTCTGATCCCTGTCTCGTTCAAATTAGCTCGTGGGCCGGATCGTCGCCAAGACGCTAGAGTATAGGCTAAGCCTTTTATGGAAACCCGAAACCTTCTTTTTGTAACAAAAGCACGGCGTGACCGACGCGCAGGTTCCTGTGGTGCATTAGCGTGGTCTATAGCCCCTACGACTCGGAATTGATTTCCCTAGTGCATATAACAGCTTGGAAGCGGCCTATCAGCGCCCTAGACCACTCGGATTTGACTCTGGCTGAATGCATTTATTACAACAAAGAAACTATCTAACAAATCAAAAACATCTTTGCCCCGAATTCCGCCCCCACTATCCAAGTCCCATTGCATTGAACGCTTACTTTGGAACCTCTGTCAGGAGTCCCTCGATAGACGTGCCAAGTTGCAAGAGGAATGGCTGAAGGCTCTCGACATAAGCCTCCAAGTCGGCGATCCTTCTATCGGCTGTTAGCATGGGGCAAGGAATGTAATTATATGGTAGACTGACTTTTGCTTCTCCATTATTCTAATACAGTCAGATCCTGGATTTCAATTGTGAGGGGAGGAGTGCCATACCGGTCCTCCAATCCATTGAGACGGCCTTGAAGCTCAGTGATTGATTCGCTTAACGCCTGAACATCATATTGTTGTGGCGGGCTGGGTGATAACTCGGGGAGCGCATCAATGGGCTCCACTTTCTCATCGATTGGAGCGAGTGTGCCAAGTGGGAATGGGTCCAGATACTCGAATGGGTCCAAGTACTCATCCAAAAGTTGGTCCCATGTAAATGCTTCGTCACTGCCTAAGGTATACTGGAGGTCGGGGAACTCATCCTGATCTTCGCCCCATCCAAGAAATGCATCAAAATCTGCTGTTTCCATGCTGATATTTGTGTGGGACGAGAAATGGCGCAGTCGGCTGAATTTATCTTGTTGTGCCTGCGCAAGCTACCTGATAACCAGGATGTAATTGGCGCTCATTCGGCGCAGCGCCCACGTATGATCGTAAATTTAGAAAAGTATGTTTTAAAAGCAAGATCCCGCCAGCGAAACGCTCCCACCTCAGATTGACCATTTCCGTCCCTCCAAGCCCATCACGTCCATACGCAAAGCCGCCCCGATGGCCACCGAACCAAACGCCCCAGGTCATAACAAACAATACTATGAAGAGGAAGAACAACTTCTGATTGTCCTCAAGCAGCTAGGGGGACTTTCATGGCCAGAAATTGCGCTCAGATTCAACGAAAGTGTCCCGGACGACCGACACAGAACTGCATCGGCCCTAGAGAATAAGTGGCGACAGCTACGAAGCACCCACCAGTAAGACGATGCCACTCCGGTTAGATTGTTGTTTCTAATTATGGCATAGCTTGGTCGACATTTCCCACATATTCTTAGAGCAGGAGTAGTATCTCAGACTACGACCGGGGGATGAAAGGAAATAGGAAATGATCTACACGAAATAAGATTGTGTATCACAATGTGCGCGCTTAGAATTTCGCTCTTAGTGTCTGTTCTTCGATTTGGTAGTAGCTAAATATGTATATATGTATTTAACCCCCTCCCCATCTGGATTTTCTTAGAATTCCCATTCCCCAAATCAATCTCAAAGTGTTACGATGCAAAACCAAGCTGTATGCATATATAATTTGTGATTTCTCAACAAATCCCTGCTAACACATCAAGGTAAACTCCGAAAATGTTCTCATCCCACTGAATGTCGTACGCTGGTTCTTCTATCGTGAGCAAGAAGATGCTCGGTCAATCACCAACCTTCAGAAGCATATTTCATCTCTCGAAAACTCATTGTATACTTCAGGGTGGAGAATGCAGCATGCAGTTGTCGAAAAAAATGCCCTATCGGCCCACTATGACAAGCTACACCAGGACTACTTGAAACTTTTCGAGGCATACGAGCTCCTTGAGAAGCGAATCGACTATGACGGCCTAGGAATTACAAATCTCCCGCCAAAACAGCGCCTGACATCAGAGGATATTATCACCGAGAACGTGTGATATCCTATGTTAGGAAAGTTTTATATCGCCTATGCATTCGAATTTATGTTATCTTTGTGGTTGTTTTCGATCTTCATTAGAAAATAAATATTCATTGTGAAATATGACGTAAATTGAGCCCCTGAATGAAGCCTATCTAATCATATCCCTGTTCCTTATTATCGATGATTCAGGAAACGGGCTTCCGAGCAGGACGCGGCGTTTGTGATGCAGCCATCTTTGCATGTGTGTGAATCGCATCGCCCAATGATACCCTTAAATTCGCCTTGGCTTTACGCGTTGGTTTCAATGTGGCCTGTCCATTAGGTTGTTGATAAGCACCATCTTCAATATCCAAAGTATTAGACACCGAGGATTTACTTTGAAATTTGGCGACATGGCGTTGAAACTGGCGCCTTGTTATAGCCCAGCTTTTTGGATAGTTCCTGTTCTGGATTCTCTCCCAAACAAAGTCACGTACATCCTCGTAGCGTGCAGTTGAACGATAGAACTTAACATCTCTCACCGCTAGATCTAGCTGAATGCCTGCACGATGAAGATTATGCACTTCAATACAGCCAGTGCCAGGAGGAAGCTTCAATTTCGTCTCATTCTGTACGTCAATTGCGATGTTCATCGAGATCAACTGCTCCATTGCCCATTTACGCCGATCATTGGATTCCCAAAGGAGGGACATGACAAATGTAGTCGACCGGTTCCATAGGTGCTCGTAAGGGCCAGTATCAATCGCTTGATAAACTCCCTCGTTGACGAGCGAGATAAACACACCATACGGCCCGTCTTTAGGATTGCGTCGGGAGAAGCCTTCATCGGTGGTTACTTTGTGGCGAAGTCCCACAGGGGGCGCCAAATATGCGGGGGCCAATTCCATAGTGAACCTGTTTGACACTGGTAATGAATGAATTATGAACATCTTGAATAACATAAAAACGCCATTTGGTACAAATGGCACTTTTCCCCTTTTACCTACTGTACCCTTCGTACATAGCTACTTTGGTATATTCGAAAATGGTATTGCCCCCAATGTACATTCGGAAGTTGAGAGTTATAAACTTGCTCGCTCCACGCAGACAGATAACAATTATTCACCTACTTCTATCATTAAGAATGTCAAATCGCAATCGCAGGAGTGAGGAGCCCGTTCCCGAACTTGGGAGTATAGTGGACCAAGATATCCAGGCCGCGGCGGTGGGCGAAAATAACAACCGTAACAGCGTTAATAACCGCCGCCGCCGACGTAATAACCGCCGCCCCAGTGACGATAACCCTTCTGGTATTGAGCAAGTTGAGAGACATGCCGAACCGGAAGGCGAAAATAATCGTCATAACAATGCTAATAACCGCCGCCACCCCAATAACTCCCACACCAGTGACGATACCCCTCCTGGCATTGAGCGCGTTGAGAGCGATGCCGAAGAGGAAGGCGAAAATATCCCAGTTTATGAAGGGAATTTCTCCGACGAGGATGGCGAGGCAGAATTTTTCCTTCAGCCTATGTGGTCAACACCGGAGCTGCTGGATCATACCGCGGAAACATCTGGCTTACCGATGGAAGGAAGTGTCCTTGCTTGGCGCGGCAATGGCCCCGGGAAATCAGTGATAGTCGGATATGCGTGTGGCACGTCCGCAACTGCACGATTAATCCCAGCGGCCCGGCGTCACATTCCCTCTCGAGCACCTAATATTTTCGAAGAAAGTCTTGGCCGCCGAAAAGACTATATCCGGACCGAACGAGATATCAGAGGCTGGGGGATAGTCGCATGGCGAGTGGATAAGAAGTCCATCGACCAGGACCCAATATCCTTATTGAAACCGATGAACAGAGCGTGGTATCCAGAGACATATGTCTATATTCATTGGTGGGGTGGGGATGCGAGTTGGGAATCGCGGCAAAATCTTCGATTTGTTTGTGCTAGCGACGAGCTGAAGACAGACATGTTAATCTACAATTTGGCGAAGGAGCAAGAGGCTGATTACCGTGAGGCACTTACTGGAGTGAGGCCAGAGTATCCTCCGGCGAATACCCATATGACAAATGACCACTGGAGAAATGTGAATGCATACCGAGGTGCACACTGGTTTCAGCCACGTGCTGAGGAAAATAGGCGTATAACGAGAATCGGATATGAACCAGTTATCCCGAGAGAGGATAACTATCAAGAATTCGATGAGGGTATAGGTATGAGCGATAGCGGTACCTTCCGGGAAACCAGTGAAGAATATCAAGAAGGGTATTATGAGGGCTCTAATGAGGGAGAGGAGATAGGCAATGTTGAGGAAGGAGAGGAAGTTCAGGACGATAGAGAACAACAATATGGGGATATGCAGCAGCGTCAGGGTGATTTAAGCCCTATTGATGAGGAAGCTAGTGTTTCTGAGGGCGGGTCCTTCTTTACGCCTAACGGTAGCCCTAGCCGAGTTCGATGGCATGGTGAAGCACAGCAGAGACATGGTATATTTACCCCAAGAGCAACCAGGTCGCCTAGCTCTGGTTATATACCTCATGGGAATAGAGACCAGACCCGGCGCATGCCGGAAACGCCAAACAACCGACGTATACTGCCCTTCAACCGGGGCAATCAACAACTGACACCACAGTCCAGCCAGGGTAACCAACCCAACCAGGGCGACCAGCAACGACCGACACCACAGTCCAGCCGGGGTAGTCAGCAGCAACGGACACCACAGTCCAACCGCTCCAACCGCTCTCACCAGGGTAACCAACCCAACCAGGGCGACCAGCAACGACCGACACCACAGTCCAGCCGGGGTAGTCAGCAGCGACAGACACCACAGTCCAACCAGGGTAGTCAGCAGCAACGGACACCACAGTCCAACCGCTCCAACCGCTCTCACCAGGGTAACCAACCCAACCAGGGCGACCAGCAACGACCGACACCACAGCCGGGGTAGTCAGCAGCAACGGACACCACAGTCCAACCGCTCCAACCGCTCTCACCAGGGTAACCAACCCAACCACGGCGACCAGCAACGACCGACACCACAGTCCAGCCGGGGTAGTCAGCACCGACAGACACCACAGTCCAGCCGGGGTAGTCAGCAGCAACAGACACCGCAATCCAGCCGCTCTAACCGCTCCAACCAACCAAATCAGGACAATCAGCGCCAACGGACACCGCAATCAAGCCAGGGCAGCCACCCAAACCAAGGTAGCCAAATCGACGATCGCAGTACAGAATCAAACATGCCCATACCTGAGGGCAACCATAGCCAGACCCAAGTGCGACGCGGTCGAGGTCGCCCCCGCCGCGGAGACCGCACCAATATATCAAGCATTATACCGACACGACCACGACGTAGCACTCGACTTACTGGTGTCCAAGCACCGCCTTAAGTCTGTACAATCATTCGTTATTATATTTATTGATACTACAGATTGTCATAAGTTCATGCTAGTTCAATTTAAATTCTATTGTATCATTTTATTACATATACAGTACGTATACGTATACGTTAATGTCTCAAGTGCTATATTGCGTAGGTTATTAGGAAATCAAAATTTCAGACCGGAGGCAGCGATATAAGCAAGATAGAATAGGTAGACTTACAGTCATGTTCGAAATTAGTTCTAACTCCACACTCTCTCGCTCTGTTTGCCAGAGCCCCACCTATAGCGCATTAGTCCAGATTAGGATAGCTGGACCAATGGTGTTCTTCTCGAAATAAAGAGTTATACGAATGGAGAAGATAATATGCAGTCTATATTAATATGGAGATAGGTAGCGGAAAATGAGACTCTGTTAGGATCGCATGGTTTCTAATGGATAGTACTAGATACTCATAATCTGCCAAGCCCTCTCTTGGTCCAATGTTACTCCACTTGTTGTGGGCCTCGGTAGTAGTGAGCGCCACAAGTGCCGGCTTAGCCCAGTGCCAAGCATCACTTGCCTGAGGCACCTACAAGAATATGGGTCTAATGCCACGTGACGCAAGTAAAAATGTCCAGACGTAAAAATGTACAGAAGTAACAATGTACAGAAGTAAATGTACAAATATGAAAATGTACAAAGGTAATATAGAGTCTTAAAAGCTTTGGAGTCTATTTACGCTACATATAAGACTATCAAATGCCTAAACTTGACAAAGTATAAACCTTGGAATGGACTTCATCTGAAACATATTATCAAATACTAGTACTTTGTGGATCATGAAGCCTTCTTTGAGACCTGCGCTCAAACCTGGACCTGCTCCTACGCCTGTCGCCAAACCTACATTGCGAGCACCCCAATATACTGAGGAGTATGATATTGCAGAGCCACTTATTGCATCCATCCTTTGGGGTCGCTCCAGTGAAAAGCAACAGGCCTCCGTTCGGCTTGATTCTGTAAATGATCAAATTCGGGCAAAGAATATCAGATATAAGATCCGTAAGGCAAATGGATGCATCGATACTGCCGCCTTCAAGACAGCTGCCGAGCAGCTGGGTCAAGCTTCAATAGCCTTTGCGGGAAGCAAAGACACCTCACTGTTTTGGCATGCTAAACGCGACCTCGACGAATGCATCAGAATAGGCAAATTGCCCAAGTCTTGGAACATTGAATGGGAGGTGTTTTTGGATTTTCATCGTGAACGAGTTGGTATGACTTTCGTCACAGCCAACCTGATCCTACAAGTTCTAACCGATATACAGGTCGTTCGAACACAGAAGGAAATCAGCATAAAAAAATCTCGAACGCTGAAAGGAACGTTTATGAGGAAGAGGAAGATGGATACAATGATGGAGATGTACAGCTGGATTACCACGAATATTCCGGTGTTGATTATGAGGAGGAGGAAGAGGAAGAGGAGGAAGAGGAAGAGGAGGAAGACGAGGCTGTCCAGAATGGGCACTACGAAGACGAGGATCAATATAGTGACCAAATGGATGAATACGATGATGACGACAATGGAGAGGACGAGGGGTATGGCGAATATACCGACGAAGAAAACGAGGACGGGTACGATGAAACAGAAGGTGAATATAGCGAAGATGATAGCGAAGGCGATAAGGAGTATGAGGACTCCGAGAATGATAGGCTCGATCAAGAGGGTCCAGACCATGATTCTATCGATGAAGGCCCAGAATTTGCCTACCACACAGAGCGTGAGCTAGAGAGTGTCGATATTGGTTTGATCAGACGCCGAGCACAAAACCATTATGGGCTTCTCTTGACCTCGGGGTTCATCCTAGGTTGGCGAAAGACTAAGCTGGCAGGTCTAGTAGCAGTGATGGGATATGAATGTCGGGGTAAGCGGACTGCCCGTGTGAAGCAGCACAAGGATCCCAATGATGGGCAGGAGTCTGTGATGAAGGACCGCTCTTTATCAATTCTCGGGATCGGCTTAATAGCTTGGGAAGTGGATTCAAAATCTGTGTTCGAACCAACGAAGTCTCTGTACCCGACTCCAAACGGGACATATCCGACTACATTTATTGCAGTGCGTTGGGAGGGTGATATCTGGACATGGGAGTCTCGTGAGGACTTCCATTCTTTGATGGGGGACCTCAGCCAGTTCGAAGTCGACATCCTCTTATATTTTATGGCGATTTCTCAGGAAGGAGACTATCTTAAGGCCATGACCGGGAAAAGACCGACATTCCCAGTTATCGCAAGCACCTGAAGAGTCAATTGGAGGGATCGGGAGAGTTGCAGAATTGGTAACAGTCTTATTGCGGTTAGGATGATACAGTGCTTTGCAGCAATCAATATTTTACGTATGCTATTTCAGTTCTGGGCAATCTAATCGGGTTACATACATATGCACGAGTAATCACAGAAAGTAGTGTCCAATCGTGTCCCAGCAGTAGCCCACTGGAACTTTGGCTGTCGGGTATATAATGAGTATTGTGCTCCAACTCTGGCTCAGTTAGACTTCTACTTTCCTCCCACCTGGTTGACTAAGTACCTATATACACGTCTCTTCTTTTCAAGCCACAATGACCAGCCCTTCAAGCACGATTCTTATTGATGATGACGAACTACCCCCGGGCTGGCGGCCAACAGATTCACAAGTCCAAAGGACCTCTCCACATACATCTCTTGGGATCCTGATTGAACCAAACGATCGATTCATCCCGCAAACGCAAAAGGGAGAAAGGAAAACAACCTGACACTTTGGTATAGCCTTCCCAAGACACTACGTTTTCCTGAGCCAATGATAGACCAGGATACCTGTTTCGGGAGGCTGCGTAAGGCAGTTGACGAAACAGTTCAGGGTCGCGATCAGGAAGTTGAAGAAGACCGGCATCAAGAGGAGCTTTCCCGACGACGTATCCTGGATTGCAAAATTTGCTACGAGCAGCCGGATTGTTGGCATATTCTGCTATGCGGGCATATAATTTCTGAGCCATGCGCAAATCTACATGATCAAAATTCCTGCCCTTTTTGTAGAGCAAGCTTTTCGGGGGTTATCAAATGCTATCCATTTGCAGGATAGATGTGCATGTATTTTCTATTCAAGAACAAATTTGAGCTCGACGCATTTAGTGATTTAACTCGGAAACCTCTTATCAGCTTAGAAATGATTGTAATTTGTGAACACTATAAAGTCTATAATGTATAACCAGAGGATAAAGATCGGGACCGTGTCAGTCGTGGACCCTTAGCTTATTTTCAACTTTCTCTTCTATATCAACATCGTCCAACGGTTCAAGCTTATCACTCTAAATCTTGTTAGTTCGGAATCCCCGGATTATTCTGGCTTTCTTACAATTTCATGAGGTGGCCAGATAGAGTGGATAATCCGCGTTTGTCCATGAGTATGGCGTACCACTACTAGATACCCGCGCACGAATCCCAATTTCCGGGCGATTTTGGAAAGAAGACCCATTTTGAGGCAATCGAGATAATTTGGGATAATTGGAATTGAAGATTTATATTTAAATATTATGACGGGGAAGTGGCTATATCACATATTTACATCGTAGTAGACCCTTACGCTTATGCACCTTGTCCACATTGCGCTTTTGCACCTTATAACCATTACTCCAATTTCCTATGTCCGGTTAACACCGCCAGAGTTGAAAATTATCGGTGTACAATATTCATGATTGTAGAATATTCCTAGGGCTCGAAAATTTCGGCCCATGGATTTTACAATCACTTGAATAATACTGCCTCTCAAAAATTTGCGCGCTGCAATTTTCCTGAAGGTCAAATATTCCAAACACGAAATTTTAAACGTATCTTTTATTCGAGCTCATTTGAAATTTAAGCTCTCTAAAATTCAAGTCTTACTATTTTCTCATCGCTTTTATCTTCTTGTCTCGGAAATTTATCATGTCCCAAGAAGATGTGTTCGAGGAACGTCAGAGATACTATAAAGGGAGAGCAAAGATATACATACATCATTTCCAAATTAATGATTCGGGTCCTCGAACTATTCGAGATTCGCATGTGGACCGGCTGGACAGAGTCTTTCAGTCGGAGGGGCTTTCCCGCCTGAACCCTGAGAATTATGTGAAGGTCCTAATAAGCAATGATGTTCTTCAGCAAGCTCTGGCTGCCCAGGATGAAAATGAAGCCTTCCTAACCGGCCCATTGCACTTTTTAAACCTCCCAGATGAAGTGCGGCTGAGAATTTTGCACGGGAACCACCGAGTTCTGGCTGCAATCAGGAGGTCTGCACGATGGTGGGTGGCTGAATTTTATAGTGATGGTAAGACTTTCTATCTCACTTTATTATCTACAATCACTCATATCACGAAGGTATGAGGTCAACAATACAACAAGGGATCAGGGATGAGCATCCAAATGGCCAGCCATATTGCGATGGTGACATTTACCGGAACGTACGGCACTACGAAACAATTGGAGATGTTGAGTCAGAGCTTAGATGGAGGGGCAGATTCAGCAAAGGAGTACATCATGAGCTTGCACGAATGGAGAAAGATTTTAAGAGAATCAAAAGGG